CCCCCCATTTTTGATCCCATTCCCCACTCCACCCCCACAGAATGTCTCTGGTATATGGTTGTTCATTATTTTTGTTATTTTTCTCGCCTGGTCCATTATACTCCTGCTATGAGTGAAACCATCCGGTATTTTTCTTTCTCTTTCTTGCAGTGTTTTTTTAATGGCAGAACATATAGGGTGAGGATTAAGGAATCATAGAGATATGAAAACCTAAAGTAAAAGTTCCAAAACATTTTCTCATTGCCAGGAAATTATGAGGACCAAGGACTTAGAGCTGTGCATGCATGAATGAATGTTCTTAATTGTGAATATTAAAAGCTGAAAACAGTCTCTGTTATAAATTGGTCTTCGTTATTTTCCATGTAGGAAAAAAATTGTGAATTTACATCCTTTTACATTCTTGTATGTATATATGATATTCTTCAGCATGATTCCACCAGTGAGTTAAGCTTTTATGTTTCTCCCCACAGGGTTGAGAATGCTTGCACCAAACTTGTCCAGGCAGCCCAGATGCTTCAGTCAGACCCTTACTCAGTGCCTGCTCGAGATTATCTAATTGATGGGTCGAGGGGTATCCTCTCTGGCACATCAGACCTACTTCTCACCTTCGATGAGGCTGAGGTAGGCAACCTGAGGTCATGCAGATCTTTTCCAGATCAAAACGTCTAGCCTGAAAGCCTAATAATAAGGATTATTGATTATTTAGAATGCAAAATATTGAGTTACTCACATGTAGATTGCCATTTTTTCTTATTGTTTCCTCTCTTGACTGAATACTCTAAAATATATTTTCAGGTTCGGAAAATTATTCGAGTTTGCAAAGGAATTTTGGAATATCTTACAGTGGCAGAAGTGGTGGAAACTATGGAAGATTTGGTCACTTACACAAAGAATCTTGGACCAGGTTAGTTACATATACAGTTTTTATAATAAAAAAATTGCATTGAATATATTTAATTATAAGGAGAGAGGCAGTTGCCCTTTTTGCAGAAGCTAGGTGATTCTGCATTGGACTTTTATGTGTTCCTGTTAATGGTGCTGATACTGCACTTACACTGAGGAGATAGCATTGTCTTTGAAAGCTGAAATTTACTTTCTACAAGTCTTGGCCTTGTCTAATGAATTAAACTGGTCATTGCAATTGTTGCTGGAGAATGTAGGAAATACTTTTCTATTACTGTAATGCTTAACACCACCCAGAATTCTGACCTCTCCATTCCATGTCATACAGCATTCCTTCACTCTCTGCCAGCTGGCCTGTAGCTCTTTATGACCTCTTAGCTTGCTAATTAGGCAGCCTACTATTATGGATTCATGCCCTAGCACAAAGCTGCATAATATCATCAAACCGAGAAGGAGAGAAGCCTGCTGTAGCTAAATCTCATTTTGAAAGGATTGTTTAGTCTTCTGAGAGTTGAGTACTCAAAGTACAGAACAGATACCTGCCTTTGATGTTACAGACCTATAACATGGACTTTAATGTTAAAGTATTGATGAGACCAATAATAAGGTACATCAGATGTTTAATTTGTCATTATTAAAGATCACATATCACCTTATAAAATTTTTTTGTCTAACTAATTACTCATAAGTCTTTTTATGAAGTTTTGGTGCAGTCATTGTATAAACTCAGGGAAATTAAACATTTCTAAGAGCCATTATTGAAGATGAATGGGAAATAACATAGAATAGTAATACACAGTCTCGTAGTACTGGATACAAAAATTATTTCCTTAAATTAAATATTTTGGAGAATTCTAACATATAAAAGACAGAAATAGGGCTACTATGGATAAGCAAGGGCAACCCCACTTTTCTATCTACCTTCACTCAGTAGTTGATCTGTGAAACTGCTTGCAAATCCCAGGAGCAGTTTGAAAATCAAAGCTTTAGAGAATCACAAAGCGTTCTTTGTATAATAACCAAAGTAAACAAAAAGTGTTAACAAGCTGATTCCAAAACACCAGATGCTTTCAAGTGCTGTTACTGCCTTAATTTTTTTTTTTATATTTCTGTTTGTTTCTAATTATAAAGTAGTACATGCTTATTTTGGACAAATTGGAAAGTACAAAAAATATAAAAATGAGAGCAAAACACATTATTATAATTCTTAAAATTTTTTCAACTATTAGATCTCTGCTAGATTGCTAGGTTCATAGAAGATTCTTTTTAAATTGAGATTATATTAGTTTAGAAGAATGTGTATGATTTAGGGGTGTAAGTTCATACCTAGTCATCATATGAGATTCTTTCATAGCCGTAGGCGGTATCCCAGATATATAACATGAAACCTCATGTAGGATAACAAGGTAAAATATTTATAAAAAAATAACATTTTAATTTTTACAAGGTGTGTGAAAATTTTTCATAGGTTTTTTCCTATGAAAATTAAGTCACATTTTAGGATTTACAATTAAATTTCTTTTAAAGAAAAGAATAAACATGTTATTAACAACGGTCCTGAAAAATTTTGTATCATAAATATACATCATCACCAATGGGTAGTCAGTTTAGACTTTCTTAGTAATTTGTAATGTATTTAGGCTCAGAAAGCTAGACTCTAGATTATTTCACTACTCATTCTGCATATATTTTCTTTATGCTCCAGGAATGACCAAGATGGCCAAAATGATTGATGAGAGACAGCAGGAACTGACCCACCAGGAGCACCGAGTCATGTTGGTAAACTCAATGAATACTGTGAAAGAGTTATTGCCAGTTCTCATTTCAGGTATACATATATTTTTAACCTGTACTTTATCTTACAGAAAAACAAACAAACAAACAAACAAACAAAAAACCTAACAACTAACATGTTCTAGACTCTGACACTCATTTTCTTTTCCTTCTCGGTTACATGTCCTTCAACTTAGGTGAAAACAAGATCTGATTGAGCATCACATGATGGTTTTAACTGATGGGCTAAGAGCCAGTATTCATATTTGCTCATATCTACTTCTCCTATTTTTGCTTGAAACTTTCTCTCCTATTTCTGACTTCTGTTTTCCTGAAACACTAATAGATCTTTTTTTCTGTGAGGTGGGATCTCCTCTACACAGTAGAAAAATGCACATTTTGACATCCTTTTTGTGTTGGGAAAAAAATGAGGAGGAGGAATGGATAATATAAAATACCATTTGGTAAATAAAGCCTTTGGTTGTATTGACACAGTTTTTCAAAAAAGGTAATTGTGTTCTATCGTGTAGAACTGGTGGTCTACATCCACTGGGTCCACCTTCCTATTTGACAGCTCAGAAATGGAAACACAGGGGCTATTCTCTCAGTTAGCAAAGGGGAGTTGCACTTACTATCTAGTTTTACCAGACATTGGATGGGTTACATAAGTTACCTTATTAGCCATGTTGGGGTTAATTTCTTTACCTTTCAAAGGAAAGCTTTATTTCAAAATCTAACGAGGCATATCACTATAATCCTCACTATTGCCTTTCTGCTTTGGGATTTCACATAGTAGCTAAAAAAAGACATGTCAGTATAAGAGTTCTGAAAGCCACTCCATGAACTAGAAAACAAAAACTTGTAAATAAGTTTTATAATTTCCATGAGAAATATATATATTTTTTAAAAGATTTATTTATTTGTGCATACAGAACTGGGGCATAGGCCAGAGGCTCAGGGGCGGTGAGAGGCTTCACCAGAGACAGAGTGGGGAGCAGAACAGGCAGATTGACGAAGTACACAGCCGGTGGGTCAGGAGAGGTCTGCCACGCCATGTGGTCACCTCCAGGGCAGGCGGGAATTGAACTCATGGGGAAGCGGCTTTAGATTCTCAGTGCTGTGCTTTAACCCGCTGCACCACCAGGGAGGGCCGAGAAATATACTTTTTAAGGCTAACTGTGCAGTGTGGCAGAAAGTTTGCTGAGACGATATTTTATTAATCTGAGTAATACAATAAAATCTTGATTAATCTTTGTTTTAAATTTTTTAGTTATTTTATGGGAAAAATTCTTTCTTTAGTGATCCATATTGTTTTTTCTTCTTCTTCACTTTTAGAGGTTAGAAAGCTCCTGCTACATGTTGAGGGAAATCCTAAATATAAACTCAAGCATTTCGCATTCTTCCATTAGGATTAGGGGTAGCAGAGTATATAGTCACAGTTTTACTGACTTTTTTTTCATCTTGTCTTAGAAGGTTTGTGCTTGATATGGAAACAGTGTTAGGATTGAGATGGTAACTGACTTGAAGGATACTGGATTTTTTTTTTTTTTAAAGATTTATTTATTTGTGCATACAGAACTGGGGTACAGGCCAGAGGCTCAGGGGCGGCGAGAGGCTTCACCAGAGACAGAGTGGGGAGCAGAACAGGCAGATCGAGGAAGTACACTGCTGAGGGCAGCAGCCGGTGGGTCAGGAGAGGTCTGCCACGCCATGTGGTCACCTCCAGGGCAGGCGGGAATCGAACTCATGGGGAAGCGGCTTTAGATTCTCAGTGCTGTGCTTTAACCCGCTGCGCCACCAGGGAGGGCCGGATACTGGATATTTTGACATTGTGGGTCATCAGTAATGGATGCTAAACTAATTTATAGGTCATGTTATGGTGATGATTTGTGCCTGAGTGTTCTTTTACAGTGGATATTGCTGATATTGGAATTCTGTTGGCAGACTTGCAGTGTTTGTTTTTATATTCTTTTTAAGACCTTAAAAGCCCAAAACATGTGTTCAAAGTGTGGAACATCTTGTGTGAATATTGTTATACAAGACTAAATTCCAAACTTAATTTCTGATCTTTGTTTATTTTTACAGCTATGAAGATTTTTGTAACAACTAAAAACTCAAAAAACCAAGGAATAGAAGAAGCTTTGAAAAATAGAAATTTTACTGTAGAAAAGATGAGTGCTGAAATTAATGAGATCATTCGTGTATTACAACTTACTTCTTGGGATGAAGATGCATGGGCCAGTAAAGTAAGTGTTACTGGAGGAGAAATATGAAAAATCTTGTATTTTTCCCTCCTCTGGCTTTAAGTATCTCACATTTCATCTTACAGTTAATTATCTGTCGTTTAAGATTGCTCAGATATTAAGTATTTTTTTTTCACTTTTGTTTTATGGATCACTTGCATATTCTGAAAATTTCCTTTGATTTAAAGTAGAGTAACTAAATTGTATGTAGGGTGAATGTGGATGAAGGTGAGATGTGAAGCTTTTCCTTCAGTTTCTGGTTTCATTGATTAGGCTGGTGGAAGAATTATGGTATGATATAGTCTCCCCTGAGTGGGAGCCCTACATTTTATATGGGCAGTTATTAGTGGGTAACTGAGTAAGATACAGAATATGTTGGGAATTTTATAGAAATGTTTTCCTTAACTACCCTTTGGCTCAGAGAAATGTGCAGAGAAAACCTTTGGTAATAGTAGGTATATCACTTTATGATTTCATTTTCCTTAATGAAAGTTTAATGAAATATTAGTTTTCATATTTGTCCACTAGTTTGAGGGGTTTTCTTTACCCTTTATATTGAATTTCTCATAGGACTCTGGAAGGGTTGATTCTTCCTAGCTAGCACCTTGCAACACTGGTTTTGTGTTGCTGAGGTTTTGGTTTGCTTCTTCCTGTCTAGTAACTATCTGGGGAAACAGACACCATTTGGGTTTATATTCTCCTGTGCAAGATGCAGGCAATCTTGCATTGGAACCTGTCTCCAGGTTCCAGTTTCCCAACTTGTAACCCAAATATCTCCAGGGTTTTCTAGCATGCTGGGTGTAGACTAAAGAGGGAATTCTCTAGTATGACTTCCATTGGGGGCCCAGTAGGGCTATTCTTGTCTTTCAGGATACCTTAAAGTAAGGTCAAATCACCAGACCTTTTTCTGTAGTTTAACATCACCAGCCTTGGGGCCTCCCCATAGGCACAAGGGTTAAAGTCTCAGTGCCACCAAGCTGTAGCCAGCCACTGTGGCACGAGTTCCATCCCTGTCCAGGAAGCTGACCCACATGGCACAGCAGACCTCTCCCGCTGCTCCCCTCAGCAGTGTATTTCAGTCAGTCTGCCTGTTCTGCCCCCCCCAACTCTGTCTGTGGTGAATCCTCTGACACACCCCACATCTCTGGCCTACATCCCAGTTCTGTGCAGAAATAAATAGAAGTAAATCTTTAAAGAGAGAAAATCACCAGCCTTCTTTCTTGTTGCCTGGAAACTGAATCTACATATACAATAGAAATTAGTCAGTTTATCTTAACTATGGATCTACAGTACAGAGACACAAAGTTCTTGAACAAGTTATAAAAATGTATTTTAAATCTATATGGTAAGATCATTTTAGGCCTTTGATATTTTACTTAATTTTGCTTATTTGACAATTCACTTTCCTATTATGACTTCTTTATGCATTTTTTTGTTCTCTTGTTTGTTTTATTCTTTTTCTCACGTTTAGAAGGTAAGCTTTCTCTTGGCCTTTAGCTTCTCGCTTAAAAAGAGAAAAAGCATGTCTGTGAGGTTTTCTTGTGTTGTGTGCCATGCCTTATTCTGTGTGCAGGTGTGTGACACTATGCTTGAATATACGTTAGAATGTGAACTCTGGGTCCAGGCTGGGAAGACTGTTGAACTCTCTCTCATATTGAACTATTTTAGGGGGGAATGCAGGAAAAAAAAAAAGACATAATTATTGTAGGATATCAGGCTTTCTCTGAGTGGATGCTTTCTTCCCTCTGAGTCAGCTTCTGAGAAATGTTTGGCTTAGTCATTCCCACTGATTTCATTTGAGAGACAGGTTTCCCCAGGTGACTGGGGGACATGTGGACCCTGTTTTCATGCAAGGAAATGTCCAGTTAATACTGTCTCTATAGTAGCCTTTTTTACCAGTTTCCTTTACAGGTCCTGGAATTTTTCTTTTGGGAGGTATATCATTGAGGTTTTAAGTCATAAATGAAAATGGGTAGGTTAGAATATTAAATAGGTCACCTGTCCTTTATAATACTTTGGGCCTTCATATTCAAAGGGAAACAATTAAGGTGTATTTAAATTTTTTTCTAACTTCAGTCCATGGATTATTGCATGCTGTCTAAGCTGTTACCCTTAGTTCTCTTTGATCTCATATTCCCCAACTTAATCTCATTTCTAGTTTCTCTCCTTTGCTTCTAGTAGAAAAATAATAGTATTAAGGAGGACCAGGAGTTTATTTTCAACAGGGAAAGTAATTTATCAATTAAGTATTACTGAATAAATGTTACTAACCTTTATTTTGTGTAAGTGCCAGGAAAAGTTGTTTAAAAAATATGGCTAGGGGCCCTCCCTGGTGGCACAGTGGGTTAAAGTGCAGCACTATGAAGCTATACACAGCCACTGCAGCATGAGTTCAATTCCTGGACAGGGAGGTGGCCCACATGGTGTGGCAGACCTCTCCGGTCTCACTCACTGCCCTCCTTGGCAGAGTGTTTGAGTCTATCTGTCTGTTCTGCTCCCTGCTTTGTCTCTGGTGAGTCCTCTCACTCCCTGCACCTCTGGTCTGTACCCCAATTCTTGTATATATATAAATAAATAAATCTTTTTTAAAAAGTGGCTAGTTGAGATTTTTTGAATGATTATTAGGCTCTGGTGGACAAGGGGATATATAAGGTAAGTAGATCTAGTCCCCACTGTGTTCAGTCTTGTAGCTGTCTGAGTTTGATGCTGATCTGGAAGGAACCAGACTGTCAGGATACTGCAAAAATATCAGAATGAAAGAAAGTACATAAAATTATTCCAGCCAAAAGAAGCTCAAGTACATAATGACATCAGAATGAACAAAAATACTTATTTTTTAACCCAAATTTGATTTTGTTATACATTTGCCTGGATTAAATAACAGAATGCTATAAGAGGATACACATGACAAATCTCATTCTCAACCTTGCCCTCAGCCATTTGATCTCCCTTTATTTCTTAAGAGTAGTAATTGTATTTATTAGCTGCAAGAATATTTAGAAAAAAACAAATTATCTTGAAAATGGAAGTAGGTAGCTAGAATTTTAGTTTTCAGTTTAGTATAGCATTATGCATCTTTTATTACTCAACTTTGTTTCTGACTGAGACCTTCAGTTTCCCATTCTATTTAATACATAGCAGCTGTCCCTTCCTCTTACCCTACCAACAAAGAATTAACTTTGTCTAACCATACTTGTTTCATGCTTCCCCACTGGTGCAGTTTTCTCCTGGAAAGTGATGGTTCCTCTAGAAAAGTTGGGGAAGAAAGTAAGTGAAAAAAATTCTTGGTGAAAATGCATCTTGCCATGTAAGGTAAAATTTTAAAGAGGCAATGCAGTAATAATTACTTTTTCTTTTATACCTACAAATTGTAGATTTGTAAATTGAAAACTACTTTGACTTGAAACACTTCACTTTATTTTGAAAACAAAAAATTTCCTCCTCCTTAAATCAGCAATCAGTGATCATTAAAAATGAATCTAGCATTTTCCTGGGACTGTATTATACAACAAAAGAATTTCTGAGTTAAACACAATTCTAATTCTACCCTTTGCAAATTTAGAATCTATAATTTTTTTGTGTTTATCTTACTTGTATCTGTATGCATACTGAGAACTAAGAGGAAGTGAGAAAAATTTAAAAAGCATTTCATGGTAAGAAAATATGAACTCTGTATAGGTACTTCTGCAGGTACACCTTAAAGCCATTAGATACTATTATTCAGCATTGTTTCTGTTGTTGGTCTCCTCCCACTGTGGGTCTAGGCTGATAATGAGTAAGTGTAGTGACTGACTCAGAGGATTACTGTATTTTACCGAAAAAGGAAATGTTGGTCATGACATAAAATCCTGTAACACTTGCCCTTATTTTGCAGACCTCTGAATTTAAGGGTTGATTTTAACTTTAGTCCTTTTGAAAAACAAGGTGGATATGAGCTTTTCCCAAGTCTTCTCGTGTTTTATTTCAGCAGCTGATACTGTGAAAGATTTATATTTTGGAGTATGATATTTTGTTTCTAGCCCTCTTTATCCCCAAAAAGGAGATAAGTCCAAATTGTTAAAAAAAAATCCATGTTTTTCTGATATATTTTTTAGTTGGTATATCTGTTTGTGCCCTCAGAGGTGGCATAGAATTTAGAGCCGGGAAAGTATTCTTGGAGTTAAGTAACATAGTCTAGTGGAAGGTAACTTCCCTAAAGTCTCAAGGTGAGGCTGTATGTAGTCTCTCATTGCTTGAATGTAGTTGTTGAGAGTTTGTTCTACTGACCAATCCATGTTTCTCTGAAACATTGATTTGGGGGTGGAAACATGGTCAGGAATGAAATGAATAAGAAGGAAGTATTAGTGGTAAAGGAGAGTAGCTTGGGCATTGAACGTATAGGAATAAAAGGTTCCTTATTTCTATATTTATGATTTTCAGCAGCTTGGGATTTCAATACCTCAGTTTCCAGCTGCAGTTCCTCTTGACTATTTATAGGAAGAGCTAAGTGGTTCTCAGTATGATTCAGTATTCTCTATGTCTAACTCCATGTTAAACTTCAGGAGTGTTGCAGTTCTTAGGAAAACATTTAAAATAGATTCTTCTAAGTTATACTTTCACCTTTTGGTATCTTGGAGAATCTGCCAAGGCACTGATTCTTTGTTTCTTTGTCATTTAAAACCTGAATTTTATGGTAAAGGGGAGGTAACCAGATCCTTGCTGATTGCCCCCAAAGCTTAATTGATAGATCTGGTCATTTTCATACTAACCCCCCCTCCCCCCAAAAAAAAAACCCGGTGGAGGTAGAGACTTTCTCTTTCCCAAATTTGAGATTTTATATAGATAAGTACTAAAGTGAAGGTACAGTTTTTATGTCTTCTCTTTCATGCTCATATAGTACTGTAGGTATTTAAGATTGTCATAAGGCTTTTAACTAGAGGCTTTGTGATAGTGTGATTGACCACAGGGATTACAATTTTTTTAAAATATAAAATGTGATTGTTATAGAAATATCTCAAAATTGACTTCTGGCTCCAGTTGTTCAGTGACTTTGTTCATATAATAGTCATTATTAATTTATGTAAATATATGCATATATGTTAGTCGCGACAGACTTGTATAAATTCCATAATAAATACTATCCTTCCAAAGAAATATATATGAGATTCTCAAGAGACCAAAATATTTGTTTCCATAGATATTTGTTTTAATAAATGTGACATTAAAATGTATTTAAATGATATTTACAACTTGCCCTACTTCCAAAAATATTTTAAGATATCCCATTCATTGACCTTTTTCAGTCTTCAAATTTGTCTGAAATTCATCATTGCTTACCATCTGGGAAATGCAAATCAAAACCATATGAGATATTATCTTACTCCCATGAGGATAGCCCACATCATAAAATTTCAGGAACACAAAGTATTGGTGAGGTGTAGAGTAAAAAGAACCCTTATACACTGTAGATGGGATTTTAGACTTGTCCTACCACTATGGAAAACAATATAGAGGTTCTTTAAAATATTAAAAATAGATTTGTCACATGATTGAGCAATCCTTCCTGGTAGTTATCCAAAGAATACAAAAAACACTAATTTGAAGGAATATATTCACACCTCTGTTCATAGCAGCACTACTTAGAGAATAGCCAAGTTATGAAATTGCCCAGCCACAGATCAGTGGACTGATACGTAATGTATATACACACAATAGTGTATATATATACTCTCAGTTATAAAAAGAGAAGAAATGCTGCCATTTGACAACATGAATGAAACTGGAGGGTATTATGCTAAGTTGGTAAGTGAGATAAGTCAGAAGGAGAAAGAAAAATAGTGGGTGATTTCACTGAAAACAAAGGAGCATATAAAACTAAACCAAAACAAACCTTACAAACACAGCTGCTGAATTGAGGGTACTAAAGGAAAGTAGAGGTGGGGAAAAAATGGGAAAGAGGACCAATGGTTCATGTTGAAAGGATTTTTGGTGGTAGGTATGATGTGTTAATATATATCTGAAGAAGTATGAATATATTCCCCTAAATCATATACAGTATTACAAACCATGTCATCGCAATTAAAAAAAATTCACACTATTAAGTACTTTTGTAACTAATTGAATTTCCCAGTTTAAAAAATGCAGCTTCATCCCATATTTGCCATTCATTCTCTTACTAGAAAATGAACATCTCCCACTTGAGAATTTGCTTCTTTTCATGAAGTGTGATGAGCACTCAAACTTTGTTAAGCATTTAAAAAGCAGTGATTTTTTTTTGAGGATACTGAATGAAACAAAGCCTGTTTTTCTATTGTGTCTTAAATCATTTTGGGGCAGTGAAGAATAAAAGCAGTCATTTAGATTAATGTAGGTCATGAAATTTGATTTCTAGAGCTTGTTTTCTGGGCAGTGCACCCAAAGCCAAAATCAACAAGGCATAAATTTGCTCATTTATTCTGGAAGGTTAGTAGAATCTTAGCAACTCTCTTTGGTAAAAGAAAACAACTTGAGATTAATCTAATCTAATATAATGAGGTTTGGTATCAGTAAATCAAAGCTCAACTTGCACCCTTGTTTCTTAATTCATAAAATAAAATTCGATTTAAATTTGAGTTTCAGTGAAATAGGATAAAATTCAGGAAATGGTCAATTAAAAGTTTCCTAAATAGTAGCCTTTAATGCTGAAAAATTTGTGATCCTTGTTTCTTCTTGAACTTAGGTTTTTGAAATATAGTCAATATTAATTTTTTTTCAGTGAAAATATGTTAGAGAGGGCCCTCCCTGGTGGCACATTGGGTTAAAGCATAGCACGAAGAAGCTAAAGCCACGTCAGCATGAGTTCAATCCCCGCCCTGGAGGTGACCCACATGGTGCGGCAGACCTCTCCTGACCCGTCTGCTACTCCCCTCAGCTGTGTATTTCACTAGATCTGCCTGTTCTGCCCTCTGCTCTGTCTTTGATGAATCCTCTCACCCCTCACACTTCTGGCCTAGACCCCAGTTCTTGTATGCATAAATAAATAAATAAATGTTTTTTTTTTAAAGAAAATATGTTAGAGAAATAATTATTAATCTATTTAAAATAAAGTATTTTTACTTTATTTTAAAAATTTCTCTTCATAGTGTATACATACTCCCTTGGTGAGTTTGTAAATTAAACTAACATCAGTACCTAGATAAAGTCTTACAACTGTGTTAGAAGCTAAAGGCTACGCAACACTCAGGTTAGGAGTTGCTGAGACTCTGGTATAAAAATTTGGAATCAGGTCAAAGTTGACTTTTGTATTATCTTTGAAAGTAAGGCTTGTTGTCCAAATGAATGTAGAACAAGGTGGAGGAGGAGCAGAAAGTTAAACCATTTGAGTTTGAGAATCAAAGCACTTAAAAAATATTGTCTCCTCGTATTGATTACAAGTAGATTTTGAAAAAGAGCTGCTTGTGACTCTGCTTTTTATTGATAGATATCATAATTTCATATAGCTTAATAATACAAATATTTTATTTCCATTAAAAATAATTTAGTTTATTTCTTTTTAAATGCTGTGGCTGAGAATTTGCATTTAGACTGGTACATAGCAGAGGTTACAACAGAACATTCTGTATTTGTTTAGATAGTGGAGAATACTAAAGCTGAGAGTGTTATAATTTGAAAAGATAGTTTAGAAAAGTTGTGTGTATGTGTATGTGTGAACACCTTTAAACCCTCCTCAATGGTATGTGTGTGTGCGCGCACACGCGCGCCCCAGGTGCCCCCATGTGGAAGACTGGTGTAATAACACCTTTAAACCCTACCCCCCCCCCTCCCTTTTCAAAGGACTAGAAACAGAAAAAAGTCAGGGATTTAGAATAGTGCTTATAATTTCAGAGGTTTACTCTCTATTTTAATGACAGAATCTGTTAGAGTTCGTTTCCTAGAGTCAAAGGGAGTTGGATCATCTTCAAGGTATAAGTAGAGACTTAAGAGATGGCCATTCTATTGGTTGTGAGGATGGATCCTTTGATTTGTTTATATTCTGTGCTTTTCTGTATTTCTGTAACTGTACAGTTTGAAAACTACTAGTTTATTGTTCCAACCTCTCTTCCTATACCTTGGGAGATTTTATCCTAATTTTACAATTTTACCCTACTTCTTCCAGATGAGAGATAGTAAAGGAATTAAAGATGAAGAGTGGCAGAAGGCCAGAAAAATCTTTCTTATATTACATTTTAGTGGTTTGTGTGCAGAATTAAAACTGAATTGCTAGATTAACATTTTCAGTTTTTGTTCGACCAGTAATTTCATGTTTTTCAGATGAATTATATATAATGAAACATCACTCAGTGTATTGCAAAACAAGATGTAAGAGACTGTGATTTGTGTTACCACATACTAATGAGGCTTCCTTGAAGCCTAGAGGACTTTGGCAGGGCTGCAGTAGATGAAATGTTGACTAGTAAAAAGGCTGATAATGAGGCGTGTGACAACAGGGCTTTTTCCTGCTAAAGACACTAAAAATCTTTTGGCTTGAGTGGTTTTACAAACTCTTCACAGTTTAGCAATAGGAAAACCAGGGAAAAGAATGGAATTAACTGAAGACTGCATGAGAGATGCTGCATTTTGACAGAAATAAACATTGTAGTGTGATGAGGATATTTTTTAAGGCTCTTGTAGGACTACTTTAGCAATTGTATGCTAATGCAGTAACTTTTCTGTCTTAGTTTGTAAATGGTAACTCAGATTTTGCAAAGAAAATAAATGTGGTATTTCTCTTCAAAAGGATACTGAAGCCATGAAGAGAGCATTGGCCTCCATAGACTCTAAATTGAACCAAGCTAAAGGTTGGCTCCGTGATCCCAATGCCACTCCAGGTAACCCCCTCTGATTCTTTGTATAACTATAACAGAAAACTCAAAACAACCAAGCAAACAAAAGAAAGAAATTTTTCCATCCTTTTGTAATCCTGAGATAACTATGGTAACATTTAGGAATAGAGCCTATTCTTTGGTACTTTTAACTCCTTGAAGCATTACTGGACTTTAAGAAATTGAAGGTATAGGTCATTTTCCTCTCATCATGGCATCGTAAACTATGCTGAACTGGACATTCTTAGCCTAATTTTTGGCAGTCTCCTCCCTTGGTAATTACTTTAAACAAAAGCCCCTTTTCTTCTAGTTCCCATTGGATAGATTTCAGTTATGTCAACAGAATGCTTAATTAAGCAGCTTAAATGTTGATGCCAGTAAGAATTAGAAAATAAAGTTGATTTACATAAAGATAAGACCCAAATAGTTTAAGGAGGTAGGCCTTATGGGTTTTAAGAATTTAATATTTATTAGTTTTTAATTAGTATTTGAGTGAATGTGAAATGCCTAATGGAAGTAGTTAGGAGTGCTAAGGACTGTAAAGTTGTTGGAACTTATTTTAACCCTACTTATTCATACCACAAGCTGCTTATTATCTTCAGATGGCTCCAAGTATCTTTTTTAGCAATATTTGTGGTTGAAACCTCACCAGGAGGTTGTAAGGGCACTGCTTGATTGTTGGCTATCAGGTATATCGCCTTCTGTTCACTTGTTTAAAGTCATCCATTCCTTCATGAATGAAATGAGTTCTAAAACATCTTCTCTAAATAATTAATATATGAACAGTGTAGTTACTGAGTATCTTTTTATTTTAGGGGATGCTGGTGAGCAGGCCATCAGGCAGATCTTAGATGAAGCTGGAAAAGTTGGTGAACTCTGTGCAGGCAAAGAACGCAGGGAGATTCTGGGAACCTCCAAAATGCTAGGGCAGATGACTGATCAAGTGGCTGACCTGCGAGCCAGGTAAGGTTCCTTTGCTCTTACCAGAGCATTAATGGGTTACAAAAACATAGGATCTCATTCCTGATGGAATGATCCAGAAAGCAAGTCTCTGCTAATTTACTGAGTTCTATGAGGCTAGTAGATAGTATAGATACTATATTCTATAAGTTCTTTTGAGGTTGAAATAAACTTTCCTTTTGCTGAATTTTTAAAATTTGTAGATGTTATAGAAGAATAATTTTTTTTTTATTTTCTAGGCATATGCTTATGAAATGTAAGGGACAATGTATAGATATCTTTTATGAAGTATGGGTAGAAAAAAACATGAGAGTGGAAACATTGGAATTATTTCACATCTTTGAACAGATGAATTAAATAATTATATTGTAAATTGGACATTCTGGCATCTTTTGAGTTTTTATTACATCATTTTTTTTTCTGTTTCATATTTTTTTTGCTACTTTCAATTTGACTTTTGGAATCTTCCTCCCATTCACTAAATACATACAGTTTGATATTTAGAAAATTCAATACAACATAAGTATCTTTGAAAATCATCCATTGAGTTAATGAAATTCTCAAAACGATCCCCATTTCTATGGAATCTTCGAGTATAGATATTTTACAAATTTGATGTATGATGAGACACTAGTGTAGAAGTTTAACTTTGCTTTCAGCATGTCTTAAAACATCTTTAGATAACTGCGGTATACAACGTCGCCATACAAATAGCTGAGTAACACTTCTAGACATGTTGCCCACCATTATACCTGGTCTCAAATGTATTCTCATAATAGATTTAAATTCTTACATTACAGTTCTTAAATTAGAGTTCTTAAAGTGGTGGCCCTTAGCCCTTTTTTGGGGACAGGTAACTTCTATGATCTGATAAAAATCTAAAAAGATGCATATATCTTAGCCCTACAATATCATGTATAATTTCCAAAGTCTCATGGATTCACTGTAACCAGAGGCACCAGAGGCTTCACATTAAGAGTCTCTTCCGTGAATGGTTGAAGGAACAACTTAAATAAATGTGATCATATTGAGCTCAGTGAGCCTTTTTTTTTTCCTGCTGTGAAGCAGACTCCTCCATCCTGAGCATGACAAGAACTTTAGAGAAAGGACAAAAAGAAGTTCTGTTCCCATTGGGAGAAATGCCAATTCAGTGTGACAGGATTCTTGGCTCTTCTAATTTCTCACTGCTGGCTCTTTTGTCTGCAGCCTTTTCACAGTGTGGTAGACAGTTTTCACTTGGAATTCTCAAATACACAGTTGTATGTGTTTAGAGAAAGATGAATTTGAGCAAGCGAATGAAGTTGTTGCTGTATGGGAGCCACTATTAATCTATAAAGAGAAAAGAACAGTAGTGAACAGCTGTGGACCTGCTTCATATTAGGGCCTTTCACAATGAAAGATGAGAAAGCTGTCTAATCTAAAGCATAAAAAGCTATCTCCCTGTTATCCTTTCTTAAATATGCCCAAATATTTAACATTTTGTTACTGAAACTAAATTACTATTTCCTTAGTGATATTCTTCTATTCAGTTTCCTAGGATTTCTAGCTTGCAAGTATATTTTACCCACCCATTTCCTACTATGAGACTCAGTAAACCTTTAATTATTTTGAATTTAAAATTGTGTAGAACATAAATATTTTATTTTTTCACAGTTGGGTGCATCATTTAACTAGATTTGAAGGAAAAAGCAAATTAAACTGTAAACAGTATGCTTTTCTACAAGTCCTTCATTCCCCTGCAATATAATAGTAAAGTTGCAGTTCAAGTAAAAGAGTATCAGTGAATGAATTGCCTTCATGCTATTATGAAGTACAGCAAAGACATTTTATTTCACCCTAAAATTGAAGGATGACTAGCTGTATGGTCCTTCCAAATGATAAACTTGTCACACTTTTAACTGTGGTTGCCTGGAATAGAAAATCTGAACTTAATGAGAAAAACAAAAAACAAATCTTACTTTGTTATGACTTGGAAAGTTACAAAAGGAAAATAGATTTCTATTAAATCACATCATTTTTTACAGTAGTTGCATTCCACTTGTGAGAGGAAAATAGAGAAATTAGTTCTTTAGGAAGTTGATGGAAAACTGGTCACCATTGTTTTTATTTCTCTTAGAATTAACTGGTTTTGATATTTATAGGTTGCTTAGGAGTGGATGGTAGGCATTTAAGATTATCATTAAGTTTATTATAAAATAATAATAATTCAATAATAGTAGTTATGTAGGTAGGTTGCTTTATTGCCAATGAATTTTCAAGTGTATCCTTTTACTTCAGGCCACACTGTTAGGTAAGCAGGGCAAGTATTGTTACCTGCCCACCTCCCATTTTGTCAGTTAGAAAACTGAAACCCAAGGAAGTTGAACATAGTAAACAATAGAGTATTAGTTCCATAGATCCCAGGAGCCTGAATTTGAGCACATATCTGCTTGGTGTCAGTGTGATATGCTTCTAATAATACTATGTGTGCTGCCTCCTGGAACAGTTCAATGTATATTTGCCTATAAGTAAGACATTGTGATAGGCTGATTATTTATAAATAAAGTGCACATTATTGTGGCAATAAAACTTACAAACATATCTCCCCTCTGAAGTTTAGATTTGATTATGTGATTATCACCAAGAAGAGAATTATTATTATTAAAATGTGTAGGCTTGGGCTTTAAAGTGTTTATGTGATTCCATAAAGCCAATGTGTATTTTTAAAGTGAAGGAGGAAAAAGATGTTTTGGGTGTTTTGCTTTGTTTACCTGTTTCTTTGTGCTATCCAAGTTTTACCTGGGAAAAGGAAAAAGACAAACATGCAATATAAGAAACTTATTTGCACTTATACATATTTGAGGAGTACAATGACATCTGTCTGTCTTGAGTAGAGGACAAGGAGCCTCACCCATGGCCATGCAGAAAGCCCAGCAGGTATCTCAGGGTCTGGATATGCTCACAGCAAAAGTGGAAAATGCTGCCCGGAAACTGGAAGCCATGACAAACTCAAAGCAGAGCATTGCAAAGAAGATTGATGCTGCTCAGGTAGTAATAGTGATTTCCAGGAGGGGAAGGAAATAAAAGAGAAAGAGAAATGTTCCATATATAAATAAATATTTTCTCCCCTACCTCCTCATTCTCCTCTTTGCCTTTTATCCTTCTTCCCTCTCAGTCACTGTAGGTAGGTAACTGGTGTTCTGGATGATGAGCAGAACACATCACAGGTTTAGACTGATTGTTAACCACCTACCACCACAGGTTTAGACTAATGTTTTATCTCTGTTTTGAAATAGAGAGCCTTATTTTGAATAAAAGTAAGCACTCTGAGTATGAAGAGAATCCTAGTTCATGATACTGATTATAGTTTATCAAAACTGTTTTCAACTCATAATTGCCAACTTTGGTCATAGCAATGTTAAAGGGTTGAAGTTTTGTGACAACTGCTCTACTATAAAATTATTTTCAAACATTTCACAAAGAAGTAAATGTTTTAGAAACTAAAGTGTTAAAAAGGTAATGCTTTATATGCTTTATTCAAAGACAAGATAAAGTTTGTAATGTTCTAAGGGGGATGAAAAAAATTATTTTTGAAAAGCTGAGGGATTGATTTGTTTGTATTTGAGCTAAGAACTTAAGTAAAATAGTGTCAGCATTTTAAAAATCAATTACTGGTATGTCTTATGGTTACTTTTGAAATATTTCTGATGACCTTGTTTAACAAAATGCGGTTTAGGAGTAGATTACAGTGTGCTTCTTTTCCATTTGAATGTACTCAGAATTGGCTTGCAGACCCAAATGGTGGACCAGAAGGAGAAGAACAGATTCGAGGGGCTTTGGCTGAAGCTCGGAAAATAGCAGAATTATGTGATGACCCTAAAGAGAGAGATGACATTCTACGTTCTCTTGGAGAAATATCTGCTTTGACTAATAAATTAGCAGATCTACGAAGACAGTATGTATTTTTCCCTCAAAGTTAATATCTCTATTTTTCCCAAACACATATATAGTTGAATTCCATATTAAATGTATATATGATGCGTTTTCACTTTATTTTCATTGATTTTGTGTGATATGTATGGCTAGGTCAGGATTCACTATTTTATCATTAACATAACTGAAGTTTAATGACTTATTACTAGTTCTATAATTTCAAATTTAACAGTGCTAAAACTTCTTTTTTTTGAGATTTATGTTTTTAATTTCTAAGCTAGAACTTTTACTTTCCCTGCTACATCATGTTTAGGATATATCTTTTATGACATATCTGTATTCCAGCATATGAGGGATACTAGTAATCAAGTATTTCAAGCATCAAGGAAAAAACTTTTTTGGTTAGCTATAGAAAAAGGAGCATATATGTGGTAGGGGATGTGGTGGTATGGTTGGGTGGGATGAGGAATAAGAAGATGGCTTTATCCTCCCCTAGCACTGTTACTTATAAATTAACATTTATTCAGATCCTTATGTCTTTACCATAGCTTCACTTTATAGCACCTACCTTGACTACATGGAAAAGATTCACATCTTTTAATAGATTTTTCTCTCTTGCAACAAACACTGCAGCCCATGCTTAGAGAATTAAGAAAGGTGACAAGGGGGCCCCCTGGTGGTACAAGGGTGAAAATCTCAGTGCTATTACCAACCATTGCAGCAGGAGTTCAATCCAGTGAGAGTGCTAACTCACATGGCACAGCAGACCTCTCCTGTCTTGCCCACTGCTCCCCTCAGCAGTGTATTTCAGTAGAGCTACCTGTTCTGCTCTCACTCTGTCTCTGGTGAATCTTCTCATCTTCCTATACCTCTGGCCCTACACCCCAGTACTTAAATGCATAAATAATTAAAAATAAATCTTTTTTTTCTTAACGAAAGGTTGCAATGCCAAAACTAAAAGTTGCTTCTTTCCCACTTCAGTTCTTAACCTCTTCTCCAGTGATAACCATAATCAAGTATCTTATAAGACCCTACTCTTAATTTAACTTGCATATTTCACTTCCTATTCTTCTATGGGAACTGCCTAGCCTTTTTCCAATGAGAGGTACATTAGAATTCTTTCAGGTATCCTATTGACTAACAGGGAAGTGTTGGCTAAGAAAGTAGACTGTAACCTAGGATTATGAAATAAGAAATGGTTAGTGGCAGGATAGACACGTTAGGCAAGCCCAACTGAGGTAACAGCTGAAATTTTATTGTATATCAAGCTTAATTATTTAGGGGTCACTGTTTCATGTTCCAAATCTCAAGTTATTTATGTAGGGAAAATATATAATCTGACAATTGTAAAATATGTCTGTGCAGTTACGTTAGTGCTCATTAATATAAGCCCATTAGTATCATTTGTATTCTTACTAAATTTTGAAATACTTGAAAGCAGAGACTTGTATTCTTATGACCCTAACATAGTATTGTATACATTAGTAGGCACTCATTTTCTTAGTAATGAGAGAATTGATGGTAAGAGTGATAATAGTAGATCTTCTTGCGTAGTCATTCACACCATTATTGACTAATCCATATGCTCAACCTCCTGACAGCTGGATTAGCCATTATCAAATGTTGGGAAATACTTTTTGTACACCTTTACAATGGAGAACATATAGAAATAGATATACCTAGAGTAATACTCTCATTTTTACAGGTGAGATAGGTAAGATTAACCTAAAGTTTACTTTTTTTGTGACTAAGGAGAATGGTAGATAAAACAGGCCTGATTCTATAGAATGGTTAGAATCTGAGTTCTTTGCAATAATGCTTGGGGACAGTTATCTTCCTTTATGAAATATTTGTGATTGTTGAAATTTTTGTTGAATTTTTTTGGTTGCAAGGAACTAACTCAGATAAAAAAAAGCAGAGGTTTATTGAAAATATATGGAGGCATCCAGTACAACCTGTCACCTTGAAATATGGGCAGGGTTATGGCAGCTGAAAACTGTCTTCTGTCTCTTCTATGTCAGTTTCACTCTCTGTGTTGGCTTTGTTTGTTAGGGTTTTTCTTCTAGCTTTGCCCTATCATGTCCAGGGTTAGTATGACTTTCCAGCTCCATATTTCACCACTGCTTGACTCTCTAGTGTTTTTGAAGTGTGGGTTAAAGTCCACCGAAGGGTCAGAATCACCTGGAAAAGTTATGAAAAATATAAACTCTTGGGCTACATCCTACATATACTTAATCAGAATCTCTTTAGTTGGTGGTTTGACAATATGTATTCAAAAATAATATCCCTGCTGACTTAATCACAGAGAGTTTTGAGAACCATCAGAATTGAATTGGGGGGCCTTGCCACTACTAGTTCTGCTACAATTACTCAACTGCTATTATGCAACATAGCTACTTGGGTCACTTAGTACCTGAGCCAGTGTTTTCAGGAATGTCAGGCTGAGAGATCTGCTACCTCTTGATGATCTATTGAGTTTACCAAATGGTTAAACTTGCTGGGCTAGACTGAGCCAAATTCATATTTAATGCCTTAACTGGGACAAAACAATTTGAATTTATATTATTACTTTCTTATTTGAGGGTCAAATAGATAAATTACTCTTTACAGATCAAGTTAATAATAATCATTATCAATTAATCATCTCATCAGCATTAGCAATTAGGTTCTCTCAATATAAATAGTATCTGTGTATGACAGGATGGATGTTTTCTTCTCTGCAGGGGGAAAGGAGATTCCCCAGAGGCCCGAGCATTAGCCAAACAAGTGGCCACAGCCCTGCAGAACATGCAGACTAAAACCAATCGGGCTGTGGCCAATAGCAGACCCACCAAAGCAGCAGTCCACCTTGAAGGCAAGATTGAACAAGCACAGCGATGGATTGATAATCCCACAGTGGATGACCGGGGAGTTGGTAAGGCCATCAGCAGTTTTAATTCTTACTAAGGTGGTTTCAGTGAAAATCAGAAAATTGTTGATAGATATTCTGTATCGCCTGTAATTAGGTGCAGCCACTGGTGTGTTAGTCATTCTACACTCTGACTCCATTTCCAAATGGAGCCAATAGGAGTCATGTGATTTAATCTAAATGGTTTTTGTCTTGGGCAAGTAGAAAGGTCCCAGGTTGGAATTGAAACTTTGAACTAATTCTAGTCTTTGTATACTCCCATTCTAATGCCTTTTTGTTTTCATTGTCCTAAAAATGACACAGTTAAGTGTAATTTTTGGAAATAAGTAAAAGGTACTAATTACCAAAGTTACTGTTAGTTGTGAGGACTCTGCATTTACTCCATTACTGGTAAAAAACTGAAATTTTGAAATGGGGGGATTTTAGGAGTAGATTGGTAATAGCTTAGTTCATAATATGATAGAAAGTCTGCAGAGGCTGACAGATATATCTCTTCATTTCCTGTGTTTGTTGGATAAAAAGATAAACTTTTAAATCAATGATTGCCTGTGTTGGGAAATCAGACAGATATATAATTTACTGGATGAGGAATAAATTGGGACAGATCTTCTGAATAGCAATTTGACATCATGTGATTTTTTTTTCCTCTCTCAAGTGTTTTATTTTATTTTATTATTATTTTTTTATTTTATAACAGTTTATTTTTACATCATTTTGTACATTTTTTTTCCATCTCAATTGTAATCCCCGTGGGTTTCCCATCACCAAGTCACCCGTATGCCATCACCATAATCCTGTGCACTTCCCTCCCTCTCCTCTACCCCACCCCCGTTTTTGATCCCATTCCCCACTCCACCCCCGCAAAATGTCTCTGGTATATGGTTGTTCATTATTTTTGTTATTTTCTCGCCTGGTCCATTATACTCCTGCTATGAGTGAAACCATTGGTATTTTTCTTTCTCTTTCTGGCTTATCTCACTAAGCGTGATCTTTTCCAGCTCCATCCAAGTTGCTGCAAAAGACATGTGTTTCTCTTTTTTGGTTGCTGAGTAATATTCCATTGTATATATATGTACCACATCTTTTTTATCCAGTCATCTACTTTTGGGCATTTGGGCTGCTTCCATGTTTTTCCAATTGTAAATAAAGCAGCAATAAACATGGGGGTGCAGTTATCTTTTTAAATCAGTGTTTCTATGTCTTTTGGGTAGATACCTAGGAGTGGGGTTGCTGGGTCGTAGGGAAGCTCCATGTTTAGCAGTTTGAGGAACCTTCAAACAGTTTTCCATAGTGGTTGTACTAGTTTGCATTCCCACCAGCAGTGCAGGAGAGTTCCTTTTTCTCCACATCTTCGCCAACATTTGTTGTTGCTAGTTGTTTGAAGATGTGCCATTCTCACTAGGGTGAGGTGGTATCTCATTGTGGTTTTAATTTGCATCTCCCTTATTACGAGTGATGTTGAACATTTTTTCATACAGTTGTTGGCCATCTGCATTTCCTCTTTGGAGAAGTGTCTTTTTAGCTCTTCTGCCCATTTTTTGATGGGGTTGTTTATTTTTGTTGAGTTTCATCAGTTCTCCATATATTTTTGTGATCAGTCCTTTATCACTACTTTTTTTTTTATTAAAAAGTTTATTTTTACATCATTTTGCACATTTTTTTTTCATCTCAATTGTAATCCCCACGGGTTTCCCATCACCAAATCACCCCTGTGCCACCACCATAGTCCCGTGCATTTCCCTCCCTTCCCCCCTTTATCACTACTTTTGTGTGAGAAAATGTTTTCCCAATTAGTGGGCTGTCTGTTTGCTTTTTGTAATGTCTCTTTTGCTGTACAGAAGCTCTTTAACTTGATGTAGTCCCATTCCCATCTATTTATCTTTGCCTTCACTATTGTGGCACTGGGTGCTCTGTCTTTACGGTGCTCTACATGATCAGAGAATCTTCTCTAGTAACGAACTATAGAAAAGATCCCTGAAAGTATAGTCTTGTCACATGTGATTTTTATAAGTTCATGCTCATTGGCTCAGCAGTTTGACTTACAAGGATTTGTTTTAAGGAGTTATACATCCAGGAATAAATACAAGCAATGTAAATGTTTAATAAAAACTGGCCAACATTATGGTTAACACAACATCATCATACATGAACTTTAGGTTATTATTTTGAAGACTTTAATGATGTGAAAACATGCTTGCATTAAAGCTGAAGAACAAGGAATAAAAATTAATGTGTAATAATATTACCCCAGTTTTATAAAAGCAAGATGCATGTGTATGGGAGCATGCAGTGCATTAAAAAATCTGAAGGAAATGCTCAATTATATTATGATTATGGATGGTTTAATCTGTTTTTATGTATAGATTTTTGCATTTTTTATTGTTGGAAAATTTACTAAATGCAATTATTTACAAAAAACCCCAACCTTCTGTACTGTCACTGTCATCTGCCTTCTTCAGGTCTGTTTGAGTTCCATGTTTTCCTTTTGATCCAGGTCAGGCTGCCATCCGGGGGCTTGTGGCTGAAGGGCATCGTCTGGCTAATGTCATGATGGGACCTTATCGTCAAGATCTTCTTGCAAAGTGTGACAGAGTGGATCAGCTGACAGCACAGCTGGCTGATCTGGCTGCCCGAGGGGAAGGAGAGAGCCCACAGGCACGAGCACTTGCCTCTCAGCTCCAAGACTCTTTGAAGGTAGAACTCAGGAAAATACCAGATGGTTTCACTCATAGCAGGAGTGTAAGGGATCAGAGGGGAAAAAAAAGAGAGAGAAGCAAAAGTATTAAAGTGAAAATAAGGACAATGAACAACTGTAAACCAGAGACATGGTTTCGGGTGGAAAGGGAATGGGATAAACACTGGGGTGGGAAGAGGGCACAGGACTGTGGTGATGACACATGGGTGAATTGATGGTGGGAAGCCCATGGGGACTACAACTGAGATGGGAAAATGTACAAAATGAAGAATGATGTTGAAAAATAAACCAAAAAACACACAGCCCAAAAAAGGGTAGAACCCAGGAACTAATATCATTATATATATATATATATTTTTTTTTTTAAAGATTTATTTATTTGTACATACAAAATTGGGGTTCAGGCCAGAGGCTCAGGGGCGGCGAGAGGCTTCACCAGAGACAGAGTGGGGAGCAGAACAGGCAGATCGATGAAGTACACTGCTGAGGGGAGATGCGGGCAGGTCAGGAGAGGTCTGCCATGCCATGTGGTCACCTCCGGGACAGGTGGGAATCGAACTCATGCGGAAGTGGCTTTAGCTTCTCAGTGCTGTGCTTTAACCCACCAGGGAGGGCCTATATATATATTTTTAAGATTTATTTATTTATACAGAACTGGGATACAGGCCAGAGATGCGGAGGGTGAGAGGATTCACCAGAGACACAGTGGGGAGCAGAACAGACAGATCAATGCAGTACACTGCTGAGGGGAGCAGCGGGCGGGTCAGGAGAGGTCTGCCATGCTATGTGGATCTCCTCCAGGGCAGGTGGGGATAGAATTCATGCGGAAGTGGCTTTAGCTTCTTAGTGCAGTGCTTTAACCCACTGCTCTATACATGTATTGCCTGTACTTTTATTTATGGTCAGTTAAATAAATTTATTTAAAAGAAAACTTCATAGTAGTCTTAAAATCATGAGCTTGATGACCAAATTTTTTTTAATATTCTTTAAAAGACACATAATTATTAAAGTAAAAACATTTATTTGTATAACAGCTAAAATCACCTCAGGTATCACCAGCTAGAATATGCCAATCCGTCTTCAGAAATAATGGGGTTATTAAGCTTTGTTGGTTTTAATCCAAAAGCTAAGGATAACTATATATAAAAAAAGCTTTTTTATGACTTTTCAGAATCTTCTTTAGCCCATATTAAGAAATGGATACATGGGGGCCTCCCTAGTGGTGCAAGGGGTTAAGTCTCAGCACTATGAAGCTATTAGCAGCCATTGCAGCATGAGTACAATCGCTGCACAAGTTGCTAACTCATATGGCATAACAGACCTCTCCTGTCTTGCCCACTGCTCCCCTCAGCAGTGTATTTCAGTAGAGCCACCTGTTCTGCTCTCCACTCTGTCCCCAGTTGGCCTACACTCTAGTTCTTATATACATAGATAAATAAAAATAAATATTTTTTAAAAAAAGAAATGGATGTTTTTTTCTAGAAACGTCATTGAAAAAAAATATGTATTAAAAAAAAGATCCCATTCTTGATTTCTTTAATCTCTATATAAGAATGTGCTTAGAAATTTGGCATTGCATTGACTAATTCTTACAGTTTTCTGTGGACATTATCAGGTCCCATCAGTATGGGGAATGATAAGGAACTCTGCCTTGTTTTGGGGACTTCTTTGGGCTGCATCCGTGACTTTCAATGTCATTTCTTAGAGACCACCAAGAAAGGCAGTAAAGATTTTCTGATTGGGTGGACCAGTCTCTAAGGAAATGTGGGACATGTCTTACATCTCCTACTAGACAATAATTCTTAGAGGGCATAATTCATATCTTAAACTTGTTAGTCTAACTAGTGCTTTAGTACATAGTTAACACCCAGTACATTTTTATTGAATTAAAAGCTAAATGAATGATTGTGTCCATGAAGTCACATTGGTGATTTATGCTTTTTGGATGTTTCAGAGATTTTCACTTGTAAATACTCTCTTTTAAGGATCTGAAAACACGGATGCAGGAAGCCATGACTCAGGAGGTGTCAGATGTTTTCAGTGATACCACAACTCCCATCAAGCTGTTAGCAGTGGCAGCCACAGCACCTCCTGATGCACCCAATAGGGAAGAGGTGAGTTTTGAGTTTTCATTTCTTCTGTTAGTCAGTCACACACATCAATACATATAAACACATAGATACATATGCATATACATATACATTGATTAACTAGTTAATGCAAAATGTAATTACAGTGTATCTTAAGGACAGTGGTTTGGCAAAGAAGAAGGAGTCTGTCAGGTAGTACCTGCTGTGCACTGTTTAGTACAAACCTGACCCAGTGTTTGGTATAACTTGCTTTTTATAGCTTTGCATAATCCATGTTGAATGAAGCATAATTTTTTTTTTTTTTAATTTGAGAGCTGAATGAATGAGTCAGTTAGTAGATGGTTTTGTATTTAGGGGTAATAGATGTCAACCTTCCTTCTTTGTGTCAGGTCTGGGTGTAACTGCTGTGGTTTTTCACATGGAAGTCAGGGGCAGAATTTTTATATTAACAGTAATAAGACATGAGGAGTGAGGAGTGCTATCCTGAGGAGGCTAGAAATAGTTTAAGAATCTGTACTCCATTTCTAAGGTCAGTGATTCTTGGTGTTTAATGTATCCAGCCACCTACACTAGAGCCTGAATGGGTATGTCTATCTTCAAACTAGAGGATAGGCCTTTTGGGAATCTCCATTAAGTCGTCACATTCTGTGAACTCCTGTTGGAAACTATTGTACATAGTTTTGTATGTCCTGTTTATATTTGGTAAACACTGGTTCAACTAAAGTTCAAGGGTATATATTTGCACATGGTACTTAGGGCCAAACTTCTCAGGAGATACAGGTAGGCCAAGACTTGGAGTTTGACTGTTGTCTTATTAACTGAGGTTTGATGTCAATTTTGGGGTCAGTGTGCAGTTAGTGGCCTCTGCTTAATAAAGGAGACATTTTTCCCTTAGGCTGTTACTTAAATAAATTTTCTTACTGTCTTTGTTCTCCTTAAGGTATTTGATGAGAGAGCAGCTAACTTTGAAAACCATTCAGGAAGGCTTGGTGCCACAGCAGAGAAGGCGGCAGCTGTTGGAACTGCTAATAAGTCAACAGTGGAAGGCATCCAGGCCTCGGTGAAGACGGCCCGAGAACTCACACCCCAGGTTGGGTTTTGCTCACTTTTCATTTTTTCAGTACTTATCATAGTATTCAGTAGAGAAAGCTGGTTATAGAAAAAAATTTTAGTACATTTTGAATAGTTGCTATAAAATATTTAAAAATATTAATTATGTCAAACTTATTTTTGTATCATTTGAATTTTTCTTCCAGACACCATAGATTTGTTTTTAAAGTAGAAAAACATAAAGCAGACTCTCCTACCATGTATGCTGTTAGGGAAATATTTGGATAATCTTGAGAAATTTTTTTTTATTTTATTGCTTATGCTTTTCACCACATCTCTTTGAGGGTATTTAAAAAAAATTCATTTATGTCCATAATTTGTTTCCTTTTCCTGTTTAATTGGGTAACTAAGATAAAGCTAGTATGCTATTAACAGTATATTGGAAGAACAGGAATTGAAGTTCTAATAGGTAATAGATATTCTTAAAAATACCAGTTCAACACATGTAGTACAATGTTTTTCTTCTAATCAAATTATAGAAAGTTCATTATTTTTTATTCATTTACTCAGTAACTATATATTGAGTATGAGTTGACATAGTAGCAACTGTGCTAAATTTTACAAATCTGTGATACTGACTGGTGGCAACTTATAGGAAAAGTTGGGGGAAATAAGTGTGTCTCCTGCTTTTACAACTTTTGCTCTTATGATACATTAACAAGTTGGGTTCTCTTGAAAAGTAACACCTTCTCAATTAATAAAAATTACATAAAATATGAACATGTCTAACATTCTTTAATAATTTCCATAAAAAGAAAGCATCAAAACATAGGCTTTCTGCTATAAAATAGATTTTTCATAAAAAAAGAAAAATAAAAAATTAGACTTAATACACCAACTATGGAAAGAGGAAGGACTTCAGAGACAGATTTGGACTTGGATTCTCCATGATCTTAAGTTTCCTCACCTGTAACTTTAGAGATAATGTCTTTTTAATGGATTATTTTGAGGATTAAGAGAATGTGTATATGACTTATACCATACACTAAGTAAAAGTTTGTACCTTTAAGTGCTGTAACTTACTGACTGGGAGCTCTTGTGCAAGTCACTTAAGTTTTCTGAGTCTTGGTTTTTGCATCTATAAAGTGATTACCTGTCCCATCTCTTTCATAGCCTGTTTTGAGGATGATACAGTAAGATAATGAATGTGAAAACACTTTGTTAACTCTAGCCTGTTATTTAAAAAAAAAATATATCCGTAAATCTGTTTTGAGTAATCTGTATTTTTTTATGGTGCTTTTTAAAGATAATTGACTTGACACCCAGGGCTTAAGAAATGTTTGTTTTGGTATGTTCCTGGATTATCATGTAACATTCACTTAGTTTGTCACTTTTTTACCTTCTTAAAATCAGATTGTGACTCAAAAGCCTTTGGCTAGGGCTCATTAGAGCAACTGTTTATAAGACTCAAACTAATGTGATCTGAAAAGAAACTTGCCCATTTTTGGCTTTACAGTGCCATCTGTAGGTAAAGAGGAGGAAGCTTCGTTGAAGACTTGTATTTGAGTGAGAGGGTGCTCCAGAATTTAAAGGTGGTTTTATTATTGCCAGGTCGTCTCAGCTGCCCGCATCTTACTTAGGAATCCTGGAAATCAAGCTGCTTATGAACATTTTGAGACAATGAAGAACCAGTGGATTGATAATGTTGAAAAAATGACAGGTAGAGTTGTGTGCAAAGTGCTTATTGTCTAATCCACAAGGAATGAGCTCGAGAAACTGGAGTAGGACTGGATATATTACTCAGCTGTAACAGGATAATGGGACCGTCATGTGCTCGGCAGTGTACATGGCCCTGATTAAGACTGCTGAGCAGCAGCGGCTCCTCATTCAAGCCTTGCAACTTTGTCTGAAGAGAGACTCTATGAGTCTTTTTTATTTTGGTGCTGCTCTCCCAGTGTGATGTTTATTGTTACAGCTTCTATCTTCTCTTTGAATAGTGTCTTTGCTCAGTTTGAGCCCAGAGTTTGGTTTCAGAGGCTGGGAGGCGGTGTTTGTGGATACAGTAAGTGTCCCTGTCATTTTCAGTGGGCTCACATTTCAAGGAACCACAATAGCTACCATTTAATCCAACTTGTCTCAGAGTTTCCTCCAACATATCAACTACGTAGTTTTTTTTTTTTTTTTAAAGGAGAAACCAACCACCAACAAACCTCTGTCTGTGCAATTGAAGTGGCACTTCTGAATCTTATTCTTTCTCTGGGAAGGGAGGGCTAGGATTGGAGGGAAGAAATGAGGAATGTAGGCTCTTTGACTTCCCTGCAGAACTTGCAGTGACAGGGGTCCATAGCAGCCGGAGATGAAAGTGGAGCTACGGAGGTGTCTGAAGAGAGGTAACAGAAACAAGAAACAGGCTGTTAGGTTATTGGAATCCTCTGTGTGGCTCATCTTGGCTATTACAAGCTGCCAACAGGCAACAGATGGCTGGGGAGTGAGATGGGAAGGGAGAAAATGTTATTAACAGATAATGTGATGATGATGCAGTGAAGGTCTCAGGCACACTCCTTGCTTCCTCCTAATGTCGTCATATTTCTGGTTGTCTGTTGTAGATACAAGAAGGCCAGTGACCACAGTTGGGATAAGTGCTGTGAGTGTATCTGGCCTCCTAAGCTATAGCCTCACACTTTTTTTTTTTAATATGGTGTTCACCTGCATTGCCTAAGACGGGCTTTGAACTAAAGCTAATTCTGGTTGTTGTACTTTCACATCAGGAACTTGGGTGGACAAGAGTTTGGAGTCTCTGTTCTTCTAACGTAGAGATTAAATTTCATTTCTGTTCTCCCACAGGGCTGGTGGACGAAGCCATTGATACCAAATCTCTGTTGGATGCTTCTGAAGAAGCAATTAAAAAAGACCTGGATAAGTGTAAAGTGGCCATGGCCAACATTCAGCCTCAGATGCTGGTGGCTGGGGCAACCAGCATTGCTCGCCGGGCCAACCGAATCCTGTTAGTGGCTAAGAGGGAGGTGGAGAACTCTGAGGATCCCAAGTTCCGTGAGGCTGTGAAAGCTGCTTCTGATGAATTGAGTAAAACCATTTCTCCAATGGTGATGGATGCAAAGGCTGTGGCTGGAAACATTTCTGACCCTGGTAAGCAGTGTGTGGTGTGGCTTCCTTAGTTGAGAGGTTAACTCAGGAAATGCAGCGGGGTGGGGAGATGGTATGTACCCCAAAATCACCACATACAAAATTTAGCAAAAACTACAGCAGCTTTCAAATTCAAGAATGAAAGATTAATCTTTTGCTATCCCTGTGAAAATTGGGCAGAATATTTTTTACAATATAAACAGGTTTGTTTTAGGTTTTTCTGCCTGACTTCTCTGTTTACTTGATTTCCTTTTTTCCTTCTTTTTCAGTTGACTGCTATTTATCTCTATGCTTTCTTTATGTTCTCCAAAGAACTCCTGATCCTGTTTTGTCATTATTTTAGAAATTTCTCAGAAGACACCAGTTTACCAACTATAAGTTTTCTGTCAGTGGCATAATTCCTTTTCTGCTTTTCTTAAAAGTGGTTTGTCTTTATGAAATGGTCTCTATTTCTTTCAAATCAAGAGGTATTTAAGTTGACCTGTGGGTCTCCTACATGGTTATCCTGGCCCTAACCCAAAGAATCGGGGCTTTGATTAGCTGAATTTTGATGTAGTTTTTGGTATTACTAAAGATATTACCACTCATTTGCTTGGAAACATCTAAATTTCTTCCTGTTCTGAGCATCAATGATCTTGTCTTATTCTAGAATCCAGTCAATGAAAGTGGAGGAAAGAGATGCATCCATTACCCAGGCAGAATCTTGTTAGTATCCACCAGCACTAAAAACATTCTTGGTCTCCTAATAGTTTGAGATTCCTCTGTTTTGGATAACTAGAAACATTAGCAGTATTTAAACTATAGGGGCTAATACAGTGAATGCCAAGTGGAGCAGAGGAGTAGGGAGAAAGGTGAGAAGAATTCCAGGGAATGCATGCTGATTTGAAACTGACATCTGACCTGTGGACAGGCTTATCTGTTGACTGTTTCATCATAAGAGAGGTGGTGAAGAGCTACCTGTTGTCTAAGAGTGCATACCCAGGGAATGTTCTGAGTATTTGTTATTATAGAGGCAAAGGAGCCACCCTGAGCACTGCAGGAAGCAACTGGTTTGTAGCCTCAGAGCATCTGCCATGTTTATCTTCCTTCCACTTTAATCACTGCCTGTGATGCTTACTGGCAGCTGCACATCAGCTTTTGTTAATGGAAACCAGTTCTTCTGCTGGATAGACAGTACTCCATGGCAGTAAGTTGCCCAGCTGAAAGTGAGGGCATCTTGTGTTTAGGTCTGCAAAAGAGCTTCCTGGACTCGGGATATCGGATCCTCGGAGCTGTGGCCAAGGTCAGAGAAGCCTTCCAACCTCAGGAACCTGACTTCCCTCCTCCTCCACCAGACATTGATCAGCTCCGTGTAAGTAAATTCAGAAAGATGGAGAGAACTGAGTAGCAAGGTGCTGAGACTGTAGCAAGAGAGAGGTAGCCTTTTACTTGAACCTTAGTCATAGCTACAACTTGCTTTTCACTGGTAAATGTTGCACAATTCTCATCCACTGCTTTTGCATGGAGTGGACTACTTTAATGGGAAGTGGCTGGAACAGAGTTGCTGACTTTGGTAAGTGCGAATGTGACAAGGGATGAGTTAGTGGGCAAGTTACTGAGGAGTGGGAAAGTAGTCTGTACATCTTGTGACCAGATTTTATGTGTTCTTAGTTGAAGATGGCAAAACAGGGTTAGAATCTTGTGTACATTCTTCTTTCCTTTTGTAGGTTAATTTTCCCTCCAACTATTGTTTAAAACTCTTATAATGCCCCCATATACCATGATTTTATTCTTATAGGGGTAAATGGGTTAGGAGAAGATACAAATCCTCAAATTTAAAAGTAGTGATTATTTTTAAACATTTACCTAATTAACAATATTGGAAATATCTTGACCTTGGGAATAGCTTTTCAAGGCAGTAGTTTGATTTACTGTCATTGATTTTCTTTTCCATATTTAGTATCAGTGACATATGTAAATATATACATTGGTGAGGATGAAGTCAGTTCATAGTGCTAAGCTAAGGAATAATACTTCCTTAGATTTATTAGACTTTGTTCAATTTTTTCCCATGGACTCTTGGTGGCGGTTAGGCCCAGGAGGTAGTGGTACTTTGGGGAATGACTTGTGATTTAAAAGTTATGAAAAGTAGAATCAAGATCAAGATTATTTGCTCTAACTGCCTTTCATGACAGGTGAGGAACCTGAGGCCCAGGGTAGATACTACTTGCCTAGGCAGTTACCTCCTCATCAAAATCAGGAGGGGAAGTCAGGTCTGTGGGAATCTTTGAGACTATCTGGTTGTGCTAGGTGTGACTCCCTGGGATTTCACCGAAACAGTAGCTGCTAGCTCTTAGAGAAATAGAAAGAAAATATGCTTCTGTTGAGATTAAAGTAGTTGGTCCTTGTGCTCAGTGTGGGTGGTCTTATATGGAGTGAACGTGGGTGGCTTTCTGGGGAAGATTTTTAGAGGAAAGGAATGAATTCCAAGGGGAAGTCATTCCTAGAGCTTTACTTAAAACCTGGTAATTAATTCCTAGTTGACAGATGAGCTTGCTCCTCCCAAACCACCCCTGCCCGAGGGTGAGGTCCCTCCACCCAGACCTCCACCACCAGAAGAGAAAGATGAAGAATTCCCTGAGCAGAAAGCCGGGGAGGTGATTAACCAGCCAATGATGATGGCTGCCAGGCAGCTCCATGATGAAGCTCGCAAATGGTCCAGCAAGGTAAGTAATGAAGCTTTTCTTGTTGAGAAAGGATGAAGAACCATGCACATAGCCAAGAAAGAAGGGACCCTTCTCATTACTTTGGTTCTACTGTTGCCAATAGTATGACCCCCTTCCTATTTATTAGTTTAACGAGAAGTTTCTGATGCTTGATGGTTTCTCCTCCTGCCAGTAAAAGTGAGTGCTAGGCTGCCTGTGGTTGGGGAGGAGAGTTCTTTTCCTCTATCCATTAGCGTGTCAGCCTCCCTGACCCTGGAAATTTGGAATCTTGGAAATTACTTTTCTTTCTTGGGATTGCTGAATGTTTTTTGATGCTCTCTGCTAATCATCAGCGCTCTAAACATGAAGCTGTGTTCTGTGGGCTCTGCTGCAGCTAGATGAAATGTTTGCATCTTCCTGTTTTTTTTTTTTCTTCATAAAAGCTGTTGTGTTTTTTTCCTTTTCTCAGAATCATCCTACTCTTCAACTCAAGATAACTCCAACTCAACATATCTCAAACTTTAAAAATAATGTGATTGGTGAAAAGTAGCAATCAATGCTTGTGAATGGCTTTTGCCTATTTTCCCCTAAATGATGCAAAGTGAAGGGTAGCTTTTTTAGAGAGGAGCTAAGTATTTATACTAACTTTGTAGTGAAATGTAGTTCCAGCTTAGTTCTAAATTTTCAAATATGAACCTTAATCTTTATTCCCACTATTTGCCTTTGTTCTTTTCATAGATTCAGAGATCTCAGTCTCTTGTAGTGAATGTAGTTCCCCAGGGACTTCCTGTACTGAAGCCTATTTTGGGTCTTTTCAGGCTGGGAAAATGACCTTGGTTTTTTAATTGTGATTTTTTGAGCCATTCACTGTTAAGCCCAGGTTTAAAAAGGAATGATGTTGGATTTGACTGTGGAATTACTTGTAATCGTACATTTCCAACTGGGGCATGCACACCCTTGGGACCATTAGCAGGTCCCAGTGGGGAGTGGGGTAGAGGTGACGATAAAAGTGAACTTTAAAGGTAATAAAAATTTCATTATAATAAATCTAGATCTGTTATGCAGAATACAAAGCATACATGAGTTATAAAGATAAAACGTAAGAGGCTGACAGCCTATTTATTTACTCCACTCTGCCATTTGTGGCTAAAATGCTTAGGTTTGGTTGTCTCTGGAGGTTGGGAGCATTACAGGATTATTGAAGTCAGAAGCTACTTGAACCATGTGTATTTGAGGATGGTAGCAGTGTTGGTATGTGTTTGTGTATCTGCCAATTTGTCTTTGAACAGTTTGGGGGTCTGAATCCCAACACCAGTGAGCTGGTTAGGACAGCCAAGGGGATGAGTCCTGGTTGAGACAGAGGTTAGGTGAAAGGATTTAGATGGTACCTGTATCCCTTATTGGCCCTGAATCCTCCAACTTCTGTTTGGAGACGGGCCTCCTGTGCAGGATCAGCCTTTAAGGAGTAATGGCAGTCTCAGAATTCCACACAAATTCCTACTTCTTCTCCGCTAGTGATGTTTGATATAAAGAACTGTTGTTCACTTCATTTAAGTAGCTGGTTTCATTGAGGTAACTCCCTTTTATTTGTTTCTACCCGAGCCTATTTTCAGTAGCCAACCCTTATTTTCTACCCCACTGTCTCCTGCCCTGGCCTTTCAGAAGCTCTGTCCCTGGTATTGAATTCTACCCTTAGTGAACCTGTCCTCTCATGGGCACTAATTTTGGGTTCCTCTGAGCTTAGCTCAGTCAGTGGCCAAGTTCATGTGTTATTTGTGAATCATTTAAGTTACATTTGGCATGAGAATTCTATTTTGCAGTTTTATGCAGTGACAGCTTTCTGAGCCTGTGTTAGCCATGGACATAATAGCAGGTTGTAGAAGTACTGTTTTTGGAGACCTTGAGGGTCTCGAGAGAACTGGTATGTTTTCCTAAGTGGGAAGCAGGTTTAGATGTCTTTTGGGAGTGGGTTATTGTGGGGTACTGTGAGTTCTCTTGCCACCATTGTGTTTGATATCTGTTACCTCCATGTATCATTTTAAGTTCTGGGACTTTTAACTCCTGAAGTAAATGATAATGTGTGTCTGCAGAACTGATCCAAGTCACACCCTGTCTCCAGAAAGATGGAGAACAGTGTCCATATGAACCAGCAGGGTGTTCACTTTGTTACACTCAAAACAAACTGTTGGCTGCATTAACTTTTATGCTGTGGATTCCTTTTAAAGGTAATCAGCTACTATTGTTTGGTTGTTTGTCTCCTCAAAAATGTCATGAAAATTACTCTTGGCAAGCTTAACTTTGGTAGTAAGTGTGTATATATATATAAAAAAATGTTACTTGCTTTCTTTGTATAAATGTTTCTCCAGAAATTCTTTTTTAATGTGGAGTCTCTTTGTGAATGGGGTGACTGGAGGCTGAGAAATCCTTTTGTGGAGTTCGGTTCCTTTGACACCTGGAGAGTATGTCACTTTCTTTTCTGTTCTGGACAAGCTTTGGTTACTAAACCAGCTGAGGCTTGGTTTCACAATTCTGACTGCTCTTACTAACACTGTCCCTGTTTCTCATCCTTCCCGCCATCTACAAAGCCGGGTTTTCCAGCCACTGAGGTAGGTATAGGTGTTGTGGCAGAGGCAGATGCGGCCGATGCTGTTGGTTTCCCTGTCCCCCCTGACATGGAAGACGATTACGAACCTGAGCTGCTGTTAATACCATCCAATCAGCCAGTCAACCAGCCCATTCTGGCCGCGGCTCAGTCATTGCATCGGGAAGCCACCAAATGGTCTAGTAAGGTACTGATTAGCACCCCCGATTGGGGCTGCTCCAAATGCATCCGGCCATGTGCAGCCTTGACACGTTGCATCACTCATGATCTGCGCGGGTCCTGTGAGTCTGAGCAGGGCGGGCATCAGTCTGCACCTTGTCGTTAGGACTGGCTTCACAAGTTTGATAGGTCTGCTAATGCCAGATTAACTGGATTGCATATCTGTTTGGGGCTAGAAAAGGATGGGGGCACTTTTTGAAAGGATTCCTTTTCTTGCCAACCTTGTAGCCATTGTTGGAACCTAAAACTCCTTGGATGCTTCTCAATGACTTTGAGGTCAGGAATATTATAGACCTTTATTAGGTCACCTGGCCTGACCATTGAGTTTTGCTTGCCTCCCTGATCCCCTGTTGACCTCTCTGATGGCACAGGCAGAGTTGATCAGGGTGAGAAGCAGCTTTTGATGGAAGGGTCTTGGGAAGAACTGCTTGCTGCCCTGCACTTGGCTGTGTGGCAGATGCTGCTGGCCTCTCTGGGAGCCCACAGAGAAGGGAGCTTCACTGGCTGCTTGTCCAGGTGTTTCAGTGGAAGGGGGTGGAGCACTCAAGGCTGCAAGACAGGTAACAGCAGAGCTTTGGCCTTGGGGACTGAACCAGAGCTAGTTTCAGGAATGTAGGGTGGGTGATCACTTGTTTCCCTGTTGAAGGTGGCATGTTACAAGAAGAAAGGGTTTGAAGAGTGATGGGCGATAACTAACCCTGGCACTATACCATCTTCTAACCAAGGTCCTAAAGTCCTAAGAGATGGGCCCAGATGGCCTTGTCTAACATACGTTTGCCTCATGACTTCTTCCCATACCTGTGTTCCATCTGTTCTCCAATGATTGCCTGAGATGTTATATGCCTTCCAGCATAAACGATCAGCCACTTCATGGTGCCTGTGGAGGTCTCTCCCAGAGCACCCTGCAGTGGTGTGGTCTGTGTATGCCTCACTGCAATGTATAGAAATTGAAAAGCATGAGGGGAAAAATGAGTAGGACATGCTCTTTTAAATACTTTGTCTTTTGAGGGCATATTATAGAATTATGACATTATTATGAGGATTTTAATGAACCAAACTGCCAAATCTAAGATCATCTAATGTTACTTGTTAGGGGAGGCCCATTTATAGCTTGACTCATTTTTTTATTTTCCGGATACCTCTTTTGGTATCCTCTTAGCTAAAGAGTCCTTTATTTGAAGGAAAAAGATTAAAGGAACTTAAGCATTAATTCTTGGTCTTTTTAAAATGTGAAAAATGAAATGTTCTTTTAGGGTCTTTTTAAAATGTGAAAATAAAATGTTCTTTTAGGCTGACAGGACAAACAAGACAGGACAAACAAGAGGGAGAGTGGGAGCAGTGTATATTAGAAAATGTTTTTCTCACCAAGCCTGATGGTAATTACTTGGAACTTTAAATTCTAGTCAGCAGTGGCAGTGCTTGGTTCCTAGATGAACAAGGATAAGGATGATTTCAGCATCTGGAAAGTCTCCTCTGTATTTTTCCCCTCAGGCCAGCTCTACTGCCTTGTCCATGTAAATAGGAAAAAGCCTATTTAACTTCTTTGCCTTGTCCTCACTTTATTGACATGACTAACCTGGAGATGTTTAAATGCTTGTTCTGTGCTGTGACTGGGGCACACATATTAACTGATTTTCCTTTTTTCAGGTGAGCTCTCTTCTCTCATTCTTTTCACCTATGCTGTCTGTTTCACTTAAGAACAGTCCTTTTCTCCCTTCTCCTCCTTCTAGAAGGCTACTAGATCAGCAGGCTCCTTCCCCTCTTCGCTATACTTCTACTTCCTCCGCGAAGTTGACTAGAATGTGGTCTGAGTTCACACTGTATCTTTGCTTCTCTCTAGGGCAATGACATCATTGCAGCAGCCAAGCGTATGGCTCTACTGATGGCTGAGATGTCTCGACTGGTTAGAGGAGGCAGTGGTACCAAGAGGGCACTGATTCAGTGTGCCAAGGACATCGCCAAGGCCTCAGATGAGGTGACTCGGTTGGCCAAGGAAGTTGCAAAGCAGTGCACGGATAAGCGGATTAGAACCAACCTCTTACAGGTACTCAGATATTTGTGTGTGTGTTTGAGAGAGAAAATAGCAGAAGAGAAAAGGAGACAAACTGGGTGACCATGATGTATTTCTGACGGCAAGAAATAACAGATAAAGGAAACACATGTGTATTTTGGAAAGAAAATTCAGGGAAGTTATTTCATAGTCACATGAAATAAATTTAGTGTTTCCACTTTTGGACAAAGGGAATGATACTAGCCCTAGGGAAAAGTGGGTGGAATCCTGATGTTAGGGAGTGCCTTCTGCAGGCCAGAATACAGTCTTCTCAGGGGACTGGGAGTAGAGAGGTGGGTAAGTCTTGTGTTCAAGGAACTTGTGGGCAAGAAAAATAGAAACATCCTAAAATTAAAATTTCTCTGTAGGTATGTGAGCGGATCCCAACCATAAGCACCCAGCTCAAAATTCTGTCCACTGTAAAGGCCACCATGCTGGGTCGGACCAACATCAGCGATGAGGAGTCTGAGCAGGTATGTGTCTGCTGCTGTTTGATTTCCAATAGGCAGCTTCCATGCTACTTTATGGCAATTTAATTCAACTCAAGAAAATGTTACCTGTAAACCAAATACCCTTAAAAAAAAAAAAAGATTTATGCATATAGAACTAGGGTACAAGCCAGAGGTGTGGGGGTGAGAGGATTCACCAGAATCAGAGTGGTTATGTAACTTTTGTCATTTTACCGATGGGAAATTGAAGCTAGGGAGGTTAAGTGTCATAATCAGTAGCAGTTTGATTCTTTATGGAACAGGTTTTGCTGTCTTGAGTCATTCAGCATGTGTTCACTCCCACCCACTCTCTTTTTTTGGCTGTGGGGAATTTTTGCTTCATAATTCTCTGGCGCATCAGGGAGAATGAATAGTGCAGGCTTTTCAGGCTCATGAGGTAGTTAAGCTTGTGTTGATGCTGAAATGACAACTCAAAGGAGGTGCTTTCCTTTTGGTTTCTTTGGCAGAGATTGAGAGGATGGTGGGAGGGTTCTCTTAAGTAATGCTTCTTGTTTGTACCTTGGTGACCACTTCTTGGAGTTTGTCCTTCCTCCCCTCCTGGAAACATAGTCCAGTAATTTCTGAAAACACTCATGTGGCTACACCTTTGCTCCTATCTCCTCTGTAGGGGATAGGTAGACAGGTCCTGCTGAACTAGACTCCCAATTTCTCTTTAGGAAGGTAGCACATTTTTTGTGGATCCACCGAGAGGACTCATTATAATGTGGTATGTATGTAGACTGTATTAAGTGTTAGACAGGTGAAATAGCTGTAATTCTCCACTCCCCCCACCCTGAGAACTCACTAGTTTGTGAGACCATTTCTGATGTCCAGGCCACGAGACAGAGACACTATAGAGGAGACAGGAGAGTACCCTTCTGGATTCCTAAAGTAGTGCTACTTTCACTACTATGTTTTAATCCAATAGCTTCACCCCTAACTCACTCTTCTCTTAAACCAAATAGCTCTTTACCCCAAACTTGCATATATTATAGACAGCGCTTAGGCTTGGGCTGCTTCTTGTCATGTGATCTTTTCTGTCCAAAGAAAGGAAATAGAAAAAACATGAAGAAATATGTTAAGAGTTTCAGGTCTTATTACTTAATCAGTTAACCAACCAAAATGTATCCTTGGAAAATATACTATGTTTCATTAAATATTCCAGCTAAAAAAAGGTAGAAACTGATAGCTGGTAGAGTGGAAAAAAAACAGGACTGGAAGTGACAGTAGCGGTGTGATCTCTGGTTTGTTGGTTTATATGTTTAGTATATTTACTTATTTAGATTCTTATGGACTTAAAACGTTAATTTATTTGGTTATTTTTTTATTAATCAGTTGTTTAATTACCTCCTATGTTCCTGATTAAAATTTAACAGTAGGGTGCAATAGTGAACACAAATGGGAAAAATATCTGCCCATGTAGAAGTAAATTTTAGATAAAATCTTTATAGAACAGATAGCATATCAGTTAGTGATGATGGTGAGGGCTGAGCAATCTGATACCTTGGGGAAGAGCATTCTAGATAGAGAGAACAAGAGCCAAGGAAAGGGCTTGTTTGAAGACAAAAAATATGCTAGAGGCCATCTAAGGGCACTGTGTACAATTGGTGGTTTAGTTTGGGATTCTTTTTGGTGATCTAGCTAAACCACCAGTGATGTGATAAGAATAAGGGATGCTGGGTAGAGCAAGGGTAAAATGGCTCATCTGTTTTGGAGACATGGTTGCCTCAGGGACCACAAGTAACAGAGAGCTCTTTTCTTTCAGGCCACAGAGATGCTGGTCCACAATGCCCAGAACCTCATGCAGTCTGTGAAGGAGACTGTTCGTGAAGCAGAAGCAGCTTCAATCAAAATTCGAACAGATGCTGGATTTACACTGCGCTGGGTTAGAAAGACTCCATGGTACCAATAGGCACCTGGTCGAACCTAGCTGGCACAGAAATCCCACTAATCAGAATGAAATGATCTTGAGTTTCTAGGAGCCACCCAGAATGACTGGGGGGTTGAAAGCCATATCCTGGCTTCACTTAACAGAAAGGAAAGGGGCCTCTTCACATTAGAAAACATTTATACTCTGGTCATGGACACTTTGAAATGTGTCTTGGTAAACAGCCTGTATTCTCAGACACAGTTATACTCATGCACACTTTGTCCCAACAGGCAGACTGGGTTTCTAGCCTATGGAGACTTCATATAAGCTCAGAATCCAAGAGTGAACACTAGTCAGACAACCTGCTCTACATTTGTTCCTAGGGGACAGTTCCTGCTCTGCTTCCTTTTCCCTGTATTACATTCTCTCTTCTAGGCTCCCAAGACCCAGGGCCCAGGCAAGTCAGTTAAGAAGGAAATCACTGTGCCTCCAAAATTTGTTTTGGGCTTTCCATGTTGCTGCTGACCCTGCCTGCTCTCCCTGGCTGTGCTACCTGGGTTCCTTTTCAGGAGTGAGCTTTGCTGCTGTAGGGGAAGGTGTCTTCTGGGAGTCCCAGCATATGGGGCCTGGATTAACTTTCTGCCCTCTCCCAATGTAATCCCATACTCAAAGCCAAATTTCACTGTCAGAAAAGAAGTCTCAGAATCACATGATTCTGTCTTTTCCAGAGGGAAACTTCTATCCCATATAATTCACCTCAGCCTGCAAAGGTAGCCATCCCATGAACACACTGTGTCCAGGTGCTCTCTGCCACTGGAGGGGCAGGGTAGCCCAGGTATGGCCTTGCTCATTTTCCCATCAGGGCCACTCCCAGGCACTTCACGCTTTGTCACTGCCTGCAGAGGTCTTTGCTGAGGCCTTATCATTCATTTTTAGCTCTTATTGTTCCTTCTGAGCTGAAATGCTGCATTTAATTTTTAACCAAATCATGTATCCTTACCCTGACTTTTATATTCTTCCCTACCCACCCTCTTAAATAAGATTTTAAAGATGTGTTTTTTCATCTGTAATTTTGAAAGATCCTTTTTATCTTTTTGAAATTCAGAAATAAGAATTGGTGCTTGCTCCCTCTACCCCGCCATGAGTGTTTAATGAAAGGTAATCCTGTCAGGACACTCCTACCTAAGGGGAAGGGATAGTTGAATACCAGAATTCTGCTACTGTAGGGGATGAGTCAGTTCCCTAGGAAACAGTCCTCAGTAATTCCTACCCTCCTCAATCAACTATAACCAAGTCCCTTGTAATCCTCTTCTCCCTCCCAAATGTTTATTTAAGAGAAAGGGATATAAGACTTAGTTACCACCATAATTTCCTATTAGCAAAGTGAGAAAGAAGGCAAGTTTTCCTTTTTTGCACTTGTCACTGCTGTCTAAGCATTCCCCAGCACATGAGATCATATTTCTTCCTAAAGCCAGAACTGGATGAGTAAAGGAGTAAGAACACTTGCCTGAATGTCCTTCCTTCCCACCTCCAATGTGTGTTAGAGCCCAACTCAAATGTGTAAAATTTGTCTTAAGTTGATACTGTACACTCAGGCTTCCTCTATTTCCTTTTAATTAATTGATGAAGATGTTTTTAAAGCCCTCAGCATATTTATATAGTTGCTTACCTGATATAAATGCAATATTAATGCCTTTAAAGTTTGAATCTATGCCAAAGACCACCTTTTGTTTTACTAAAGATTACTTAGAGGAAATAAGAAAAATCATGTTTTGCTCTCCAAGTTCTTCCAGTGCTTTGACGCTGGTTTACACACAATGCCAATGTGCTTTTCTCTAATATCAGTGCTCAAGACACAGTGAAGCCAAAAAAAAAAAAAAAAAAAAAAATTTCCCTGAATGATTAGAGACACCACTAAAGTCTACATTTATTATCTAGGATTTGTTATGTGCAAATATTTCTGCCTCTTCATTTGTTCTGTTTAAAACAATAAAGTGCATTTGTATAAATAATGCTTTAAATGGATATGTTATTAGAGCAGGGTTCTCCTGTTTTTGGAATAGCCAATCTAATCCTCAAGATCTGGAAACTACAAATTATTATTTTTTTCTTTTCTTTTCTTTTTTTTTTTTAAAGATTTATTTATTTATTCGTACAGAACTGGGGTACAGGCCAGAGATGCGGAGGGTGAGAGGATTCACCAGAGACAGAGCTGGAAGCAGAACAGGCAGATCTACGAAGTACACTGCTGAGGGGAGCAGCGGGCGGGTCAGGAGAGGTCTGCCACGCCATGTGGTCGCCTCCGGGGCAGGCGGGAATCGAACTCATGCGGAAGTGGCATAGTTTCTTAGTGCAGGGCTTTAACCTGCTGCGCCACCAGGGAGGGCCAAAGAAACTACAAATTATTTTTTAATCTGGCTGGATGAAGTGAAAAACAGTTGTAGCATATCTACTTAACAAGGATTTGTGTAATAAAGGACAACTTTGGGGCTTTTATACTATAGAAAGAGCGAAAGTGACAAACAAGGAGGAGTAAATCAGCCAGGGATGTGACTCATTCCCTGGTTGAAGTAATCGGTTTATCGAGGATTCTAGCAATTTGTATATCCTCTAAGAGACACGTGTCGGAATACCACAGGTCTATTTATCATATTCCAAATTACAATATAGAGCAGGGTAACGAGACAGAGCCAGCTTTGGGGAACAATGCCTGATTCTTGCATGAGGAAGCACTGGCTAAGAGAGCAGAAGGGTTCTGGAGTAACGCTGGGTTATCACTATTTTTTGCCTGCTTTTCTAGATCTGAAATGGTTGAAACAGTGACAGTACTGCTGATTACATTCGTTATTGTTGTAAGTTAGAAAAGATGCTGACTAGGGAGTCAGATTCCAGTCTGTTGAGTTATAGGAAAACGTTCACAGCTACTGAATTAACTCAGCAATATCTGAAAAAAGTGTCTATGGTCTCACTTTTGCTACTCACCAATTGATCAGTGACACTGCCTTTCTGCTACATTATAGTTTTCTCCAATCAGATGACTCTAAGGGTTCTTCTGTAAGGAATTACATGATTTTCCTTTGAATAAGATGATGGTAGCTTCCTTATGCAGAATTTTTTAAAAAACGGTTTTCCAGGATTAGCTGGAATTCTGTGCTTGAAAAATAGTCCACTACTACTAAATATTCATAGTAGGTATGATAGTGGTGGTAGGGAGAACGCCTTTGATCACTTATTGCTATCTGTGGCCAGGCAGTCAAACTAAATCAACTATTGCTTCATTTATTTTTTTTGACAGTAAAGTCAGAGAGAGATCAATAAATAAAATAATTGTAGAAGTAAACTGCCTACTTAAAAGTCTTAGCAGAAATTGCTAGAGGGATTCTTGGTATATAATCTACTTATATACAAGTGAAGATAGAACAGAAAAAAAAAATTGGGGACAGTCCAGTTATGAATGGTAGAGATAAGGATTCTCTAGAAAGAAAAGTAAAATACTGATTATTCTTTTAAGGTATGAATTGTGATGAATAAGACATTAAAAATGAAAAGCAACTGACTAGGTTCCCAAACTTAGGCAAAGGGGATAAATATTTGGCAACATTTTAATTTTGGTTGCCAAGCTAATTGATAATGGTTACTCTATAAATACCAAATTACAAAACATCTTTTCTACTGAATGAAAGGAAGGCTGGGTATACTAGACAGGCAAAGGTGAGAATGCTGCTGTATAGTAGAACCACTGTACCACTAAACTCTGGCCCTTGGTAGCAGAATGAGATAATTTTTTAAGGGCTATCCTTAGCTAGGAAAAGAATTATAATCTTAGTAGAATTAAAAGAAAGAAATCACAAGGAGAAGAAAGCTAATAGCATAAGAAACAAGAAGGAAACATAAGAACAAGTATTGATAACCTAACTTTGAGCCTTTTCCCATTCTTCGTGTCTAATGAGGCAAAAGCAGCAAGGATTTCTAAGCTAATGAAGCTGAGAAAGATGATACGACTGTAGAATCTTACCAACCATGATGGTCAATAGAGTTTCATCAAAGTTAATAAGGATTTTGTTCTGCCTCAATATTATATTTCTCCATATACTTTCTCAGTATAGTAGAGACATTCAAGCATTCCAATGACAATTATGGTAAGTTTCAGGAAGAAATCTATTGACTAGAGATTTGGAAAGCATACAGTCGGAAAAGAGAATTCCCCCTATAGACAAGAGCTGCAGGCAAATTTAAGTCCTCAAAAACAACAATAAAGAAGATAAAAGATTCTACCCCCCCGCACCTCCTAAATGTCAACAGTGAGGCAGGCACACTTTCCTCTTTTCTCTGAACTAGGGCATGAGGCCTTCAGGCTAACTATGGTTTAAGTGGTGTTGGATAAACTTTATAAAATATGAAGATGGCAATGATTAACTTAAATTTCTTTTTTACTATAACTTTCTTAAAATCTCAAATGCTGTGCTTGCAATAACTTCCTAAAAGCAGAAGTAGTGTTCCCTTTTATTATCTTAATAAAGCATTCACCCCTTTGATACAAATGATTTTTACTGTGCTAACAGCAAAACCAGTGGCACAAAACTGAGATGGTACTTAATCCAGCAAGATCCCTGTAAATCAAAATCTGAGCTTTACATAAAAATCTTATTTATAAAAAATACATACCAAATACCAAGTACAGTGAGAATGGAGCATGGAGCAGCAGTGCTCCCTGCCAGGGCCATGTGAAGTGGCTTTTGCTACAGTGCTTGCTTAATGGCACAAGTGAAAAGCTGAATAAGGCAAACACTTGAAGAGGCAGTTTTCTGTAAACTTCTTGGGGTGGGGGGAGTTTCCTCTGTTGGGACAAATGCTATTAGGGATGGCTAAGGTCAGGTGTGACCCTTGGGTGCACCTGACACATCACACTACAGATTAAGACAGCTCCTGCTGGCTGAGACCAGTTTACTTCTTTTAGGAGACAAGTTATCACTGTAGTTTCTGCCTTTACTGTTAAAATGTGCAGCCTCCAGCTGGTGCCCCCTTATGGAGGAAATCACCTCTAAAATCCTCCTAAATTGAAAAGATACAAAATAAGCTAAGTCATTCAAAATTTTCCTTAGCTTAAAAGCTCCTTAAGAATCCTACATTGATTACTAAGCAACTTTGTTAGCGGTGTGTGGCTTGACAAAAATGTTTTAACTAGAATATGTATTCCCACCCACTTGGTACCTAATAGTAATAAACTGTAATGACACTTGGAAAACAAACAGATCTTGAGGAATTTTGGCCTCTTCTCATGTTCTAACTTGAAACTTTCCAGCTTTCGTGACATACTTGACTCCTTTAAATGGCTTATATTTCTCTCCATACATGTCCAAGCGGTTTACTTTTAAGCCTGTGTCAAAAGAAAAGGTAAGGAAAGGAGTACATTATTATTCTAGTCACACCAAATACAGTATTTGTTTAGCAATTGAGCACTACATAGTAAACCTAATATTGACCAATGTGTCTTATAACATTTGGAAGAAACGTCCCTTCTACTACTCATAGTATGAGGAAATAAGTTTTTTGTTCGAATTCTCATGTTGGCAAGGAATATCTTTTAAGGATAATTCTACTTTCTGTGAGTATGAATGACTTCTCCTTTGGTGTCTGAATGAGGGTGAGGGTGAAGGAAAGCTGTGTGAGATATGGTGCTTTCCAAAATCATTGTACCTAAGAGGGTGGCCCCCACACAGTGTGAGTTTAGTTACTCATGTAGACACCTCCCAAATTCATTTACCCTTAAACACAAACCAAACTTATCCTGACCTGAAATAGCAAGCTGCTGAATCTTGAACTGTATGTTGAGGCTTGGATTCTCTTCTGGCTTGGGTGCTCCAGCTTGTAAATTTACTAGTCCTTTAAGACTTGGAAGCTTTTGTGGAGTAATTTTCCCCACATCCCATGTCAATACCTTAAAAAGACATTGAAAACAACAGCAATCTGAGCCATTTATTAAAGGCAAATGTTCAAGGACCATGAACTTCTGTACAAAATAAATAAAGCACAGTGTCTCGGAGACAAACTGGAATCCTCACTGAATTTGACCACTAAGGTAAAATTATAAGGGACGTGTTGGTAGAGAGTCAACATTTGTTGAACATTTATGTTCTGTCATGGAAGCCTGTCATATGCAGGTTTAATCTTTTACAGGGAAGGAAACTAGGCTCAAAAGGCTAACGACTTACTTAAGGTATATACAGCTAATTAGAGACAAGTACAGGATTTGAACCTATGCAGAGCTAATTTCAAAATGTTCTTTCTACTAGAACATCTTCATTGTTTTCTGCAGGCCTCTCATTCCTTTTTTTTTTCCCGGTAAAATGAAAAGATTGAATTGGTATTTTAAAACTTTCAGCTATAAAACGCTTTCTTAAATTTTTAGTGTGAAAGCTGAGTAACAGATGAAAAAGTGAAAGGTGTTAGGATATTAGAGTGAAGGGCCAGCGATATAGAACACTCCCAACACTTCTCAGCACTGTGTAGTGTCTGGGGAGGTCCTTCAACTTCTTGCAACCAGTATATTAAAAATACACAAATTCATTTAATCATGCATCTCAGTGACACTACTGTTGAAAATAGTCTTATTTTTTTATCCTAGCAGGGAGCCGAGATAAAATCATCCTTTATAGTTTCTCTGAAAACCATCTGTTTCTAGAAGCATGTTTTTTAGCGTGAAGAAGCAACTTTCCTATTCAGTATCCCCTGTGGAAGAGTTTGAAACACTGCTTTTAAATTAAAAGAGCGGTCTTAATGATCAATTTCTACATGAAATAGAACAATTAATAGACTAATAATATGTTCGTATACCCATGTAATGCTTTTCTGTTTTTAAAAAACTTTTCTATCTTTTTCACTCACTAGAGTGAGTCATTCTCTGGGTTATCAGTGGATGATTAAAGGCACACTGAAGGAGGACAGAATGTCTCTGTTCATCCATTCACAGCAGGTGCAGGTTCCCTCCACAGTCTGCAGTAGATGCACAGCACAGTATGGACTCTAGGTTTTGACAAGAACTTTACTACTAACCAAGACACTAAACTCTACTAAATAGCCTCTTCCTTCCCCCAGTTAAAGACCCAAAAAGTAAAGACTGCAGCAACACTTGTTCAGTCCTGTATAGTCTTTGCTGTACCTTGGTAACTGGATCAAACGTATAGCTGCCTTGTGTTGATGTCAGGTTCATGTTCAGCACAACTTTTGGCATGTGAACTGTCACTGTGATTCCTTCAACAGTTTTTCCCATATTCTGCTTTGGTCCAATTGTAATATCAAATCTGCCACAAGAACTGTTTTCCTTAAAGCTGATGCTGTGTTTCACATATACTGGTATTGCCACTAGACTAAAAAAGAGAAGACAAAGAAGCACATATATGCACAATGAATGACATGAGACAGTTTTAGAGGTGGCCTGGAAAAAACCTCAATCTAGGGTATTCCACCTTATCTCTGGCTCCATAATAGAGCCCTCTGGGGAAGTTCTTCAAATCCTTAGGATTGGATGAGATGATCTTTAATATTCTATGTTCTCATTTAAAAAACAGGCCTTTTCATCACTTATCAGGCAGCTCACTGACTCTGCTGTGGAAAAGAACAGTATTTTTAACCCAAGCAGGAAGCTAAAAGAAAATGATCGACCCATATCCCTGCAACTGCAGGTTCAAAATTTGCACAGGGGGATTTGAGTACAGCACAATGTTCTGATAAACTACTGTGCTATGAACTGTGCAATATCTGAGCCACAAGTATACAAATGTAGATAGAAATCTGAAAAGTATGTGATTGGGGCCAATAGCTCTAGTTTAATGCAATGGATTAAGATCCCACAGAAAGCCCATTTAAAATTTTTACAAACTAAAACAGTTTTCTCTGTGATAAAAGCTAAGAAACAAGTTCTCTGCTTTTAAGTCTATCCTTATGTTACCCAAATACTTTTTGCATTTAAGAGACAAGCCAGCTACAACATACATCACTAAATCAGATTTAAACCTTACGACATGAGTTGTTCTCAAGTATAGATTTTAATAGATTTTACTATAGTCTCATTTACCACTACTCTATACCTTAGATTTAAGGTACATTGACTGCTTTAGACATAAATTTTCTACCATTTCTCCCTGGGTCTTCTGATGAGCATGGCTAAGGGAGCAATGACAAATTCAATTTTCCAACTGACAGAATGAAACGGGGATAACAAATTAACCCATCTTCATTATATCTAGTTGCACTTGCTACCAGCTTCTGTTGAGCCAATGATACCAGAGTAAAAAGAAAGCATGACATGACTGCTTCCCAGAGGCCCAGAAGTGAATTATGACTTTCTAAGAGCCTCTATAGAGTTTCCCAATCAGTTCTGTTTCCTGTCTCACTGCAGGGTCACCTTCTCTACCTTTTTTATTGATTCTGAATCTCTGGAAACCTTCTAATGTACTTTTGCTTAAGTTAAAAATAACTAAAGAATGAAATAGGGAAAGGTGAATTCTTCCCAGAACACTGACATATGAAGGCAGATTCTAGCTGACACAGCAACATACTTTTGTGAGCTGACACGGTATGATATGAGTCGGAAATTTCCATCTGGAGGAATAAATGACAAAACTCTTTCAGATTCCCAGCGCTTGAACCGGATACAGGGGTGGAAACTGACATCATCTAGAAGCCTGGGGTTCTGGCAGGAAAAAAGGTAAACATATTCATGGATTATATGAATATGGCAACTCTACTCCAATATTAAATTAATGTGTTCTTAAAAAGTTATTATGACTATTTTAAAGCGTTAAAATTTGTACATATTTTATGAAGATCACTTTATCTGAACTTCAATAACTATGAGGTAGAAAATGAGTATAATCATTTCCATTTCATAGAGAAAAGGCTAAGGTTCAATGAAATCAAAGCAAGAAAAGTTAATGGAAGAGATCAGTATCAGACTCAGTGCTTTTGATTATTCTTCACAGTATGTCATGCTGATCAATACCTTATCAGGAAAGCAAATAGTAATTCAGTAAAAATGATAATGCAGATTTGCAGCTATTTAAGCCACTTCTATAGCACACTAGGCAAAGATCTTTTCTTAGCCTTTCTATGAAAGCTGTTTTCATTATGTAAACCACTATAGTGGAAATTTCTCAGGTGATCCTTTCCAACCTAAGATACAAATATGTCTCAGTATTTACTACTTCGCTTAGTAGTTCATATGCATTAGCTATGAACATACAGGAAAACAAAACTTACCATGAAAGAAAGGGAAAGGTCAGGCATTCCAGATAATTTAATGCAAGCATCAATGACCCCTTGAATTTCTGCAAAGACTGTAGATCCTAAGGGAAGAAACAAAAATGAGGGTAACATAAAAAGAATCTGCATCTTTACTGGAGCTATCCATATATCTGAAGTAACGGCTCCTGGGTGTCAACATACTGAAGCTTTTGTACATCTATTACCTGGTCAGTGAAAAGGGGATTCATTGCACTAGTTCAGACAGCTTCTTCATTGATCACCATGGCCTGTACCTAACTGATTGGAATTTGTCAATGTTAATGAAAATCAAACCTGTCTTTTATAGAGTCAATCTTGTAAGAATGCTGGATATGAAGTTGAAATATATTTAATAGAATTTTTTAAATGAACACTCTTCCCATGGAATGCACTGAGTTACCTTTTCTTTAAAGAAACAGGAGCCATTACTCTATAATAAATATAGCTATTATTTGTCCAGTGGAATTTTAAATGAAAAGGGCACTCACTAAAGTAAAAATGTATTGATGGTAATTCACAATAACTGATCTTCACATACCAACTAGAAATATGTGTAATGAACAGATCACTTTTCTGAGTCTCAGTGTCTTTATATAAAATGTGTGAGTTGGACTAGAGGTTTTTAATAAAATATAATGATTCTAATAGTACTATTGTTTTTTGTGAGGTCTTTACTAGAACTACTGCTAATAAAGTGGTGGAAAAGTATGGCATATAGTAGATATACAATAGATGTTAGGATGAATAAATGACAGCGAGAGTTATATAGGGTAATAAAAACAGCATTAGATCTGATTTACAAAAGTTTGGCAGATCTCAATTAATGATTATAAAATTTATTAAGTATCTTCTGGGCAAGTTAAAAGAGAAACCACCCAGACATTTAACCATTAGAAAATGAATGTTATTCCACTGAAATCACACTGCCAAGGGATTTTAATTTTCTATACAGTGTGTATCAGCTAAACTTTTTTCTAAAATATAAAATCACAGGTTCAGAATTACCTGATTTATCTATAATTGCATCTATTTCTTCAACGACATCAAAATAGGCTTCATTGTTTGTGTACTTTACCCCTGCTCGGCGCCATGGGATATTGGACAGCTGCCCAGTGGGGAGTGTGTCCCCAACATTACTACTGCCTAAAAACCAGGAAAGGAAAAAAGCAAAGTCAATTCATAAAACAGCTGTCAAAAAAGTGACTACTTTTTTGTTTCAGTTGCTTCTTCAATGTTTAAGTTTTCTTTCATCGAAGTTGTAAATGTTTTCTAGAAATGTTGAAGATATATCCCTAACAAGAAGATCAAATTTCTAAAAGACACAAATAGGTCGTGAGGTTTTGTCTATCTGCCAAACCTGGGTAAATTCATTTGCTAACCTTAAATGCATGATGTGTGTTAATAGTAACTTAATCTAATGTTGGTTTATTTCTTAAACATTTCCCCCATAAGACGGTTGTACTTTTCCCCCTATTTTTGATTACATTTAAAAAAGTAGCAATCATACTGTATGTACAATTTTGTAGTCTAACTATGGTTGGTGTTCTTGTCATCAATCTACTGTTTTCCAGAGTTTTCTGAAAACACCACTATAATCTTCTTGTTCAAAAGCTTTCAATGTTTCCCCACTGATTTTATTATAAAAGTTAAACATTTAGCCTAGCATTCAAGCACTTCAACTTTAAAATTTTATCTTGTACTACTCAGCTACAAAACAGCTCCCCCTTCTCTTAAAGAGGTTAATACAACTCAAGATTTTTAACTGTGTGTTTTTCTTGTACAGTTCCATCTATGAAAATGCTCCTATTTCTTCCTCTCTCCCTAAATTCTATTGATTTTCTAGGATCCTGCCCTCTGGTCACCCATTATAGTTCAAAATGGTTTACTTCATCTACTGAATTACTCTCTTGAACTTTACAATGTAGTACTTTGATATTGTTATATTTTTTCATTCTTTATTAACTTTTTTTCTATCCATAAAATACATCTTTGCTTTCAAAATTAGAAAGTATAAAGAAAACATAAAGATATGTAGTTCTTTAGCTACAGGCGATCTCAACTTTTTGTTTATGTGAATATGTAAAACTATGAGAAAATTTTTATAGTTTTGTGCTAGATTCCCCCCCTTAAAATACCACATGTACTTTTCAGTGCCACTACAATGTCTAAATCTGATACTATTATTTATGTGTTTTAGTTTTTTCTCCAGTCTTCCACCTAGTTAGTGTGTAATTTTTAGGAGCCAGATTCTTATTATTCCTTGAGTTTTCCTATTTTCTGATAGGTGTTTCTTGCCCCATTTTTTACATCTCATGTTTGGAGAGGAGTTTATAATAGTAGTTAGTATAGTTGGGCTGGCATATAACATTTCAAGTAACTTTTTCTCTAAGATTTTAATACTTTCAAAAGAAGAATCATCAAGATGTATCTAGTTTCTAGCCCTACTCAAGAAGTAGACCAAAACTAAAAGGTTATAACACAAGTACAAGACCCAGACTCAAAACACAAACTCTCATAAGCAGACCTGTTTCTGGAGGAGACAATATGAGTTTTATATTCCACTAACTACAGAATAGTTGCATAATGCCAGTTTTTTAATGCTTTTTATTGCCTTTCCCCCCAGTTTTACTGAGATATGTGTATTAAGCTTAAAGTGTTAAAATATTTTGATTTAATACACTTATATATTGCAAAATGATAAGTACTGTAGAACTGGCTAACATCTGTATCATATTACATAAAACAATGCTACTTTAGATATAATGCCTATCTACTAAGTGCTGTGACAAGTAGTCTTATATATTGACAGTTTTATTTCTTCCAATTTTTTTTTTTAAAGATTTATTTATTTGTGCATACAGAACTGGGGTACAGGCCAGAGGCTCAGAGGTGGTGAGAGGCTTCACCAGAGACAGAGTGGGGAGCAGAACAGGCAGATCGACCAAGTACACTGCTGAGGGAAGCAGCGGGCGGGTCAGGAGAGGTCTGCCGCGCCATGTGGTCACCTCCAGGGCAGGAGGGAATTGAACTCATGCGGAAGTGGCTTTAGCTTCTCAGTGCTGTGCTTTAACCCGCTGCGCCACCAGGGAGGGCCTATTTCTTCCAATTTTATTGAAATATAATTGGTACATAGTATATTAAGGTACATATTACAATGGTTTCATATATGTATATACTGCAAAATGATAACCACAATAAGGTAGTTAACATTCATCATTATATTGGCAATTTTATAAATTGGGGCAATTTATTCAATGTTATTACCTAGTATTAAATACTAGCAATAATGTTGTGACCATGTAGAGAAATCTGTAGTAGGTACCTCCCTCGTGGCCTAGGGGTTAAGTCTTAGTGCTATCACCACGGCGGCCTGTGTTTCATCCCCAGCCAGGGAGCTGACCCACATGCACAGCAAACTTCTTCTGTCTTATCCACTGTTCCCCTTAGCAGTGTATTTCAGACAATTTGCCTATTCTACTCCCCACTCTGTCTCTGGTGAATGCTCTCACCCACCCTGCGCCTCTCTCCTACACCCAAGTCCTATATAAAAAAAAAAGAAAAGAGAAAAGCCTGTAGTAAAAAGACCTAGCCTCTTTGCATGAAATGAAATATGCATCTGTTATATCTTAACCACTGACTTATTCTGGCCAAACTAGATTGCTCCAATAATTTGCAAAATAATAAGCAAATGAAGTATAAATAAAGTTTAATCGCTTTGTTCCTAATAGAGTATGTTTTCACCTTACCTGTGATAGAGTTGACAACAGACCGTAGAATTGTTGGTGGTTTAATCAGTTCTTTCAAAATGTTAGATTCAGTAGCCAGTGGAAATCCATTGTCTAACATTTCTTCCAAGAGCTCATAAACTATGACCACATTATCCTTAATTGCAGCCTCTGAACACTCACCAAAGTAGTCCTAGCAAAATGTAGATAATATTGCATAATGGAAGGCATGAAGAAAGGCTTGCTAAGTACTTCTTATTTCTGAAGGAAGACTTTCCAGTAGTATAATTAATTGTTTAAGAAGTTGAAGATGGGGTGAAACTCTCTAAAGTATTATACACTATTTCTCAATTTTTAAAAATATTTTTCAATTGAACTGAATTTCTATTACACATTATGCCAGGTAGGTCTTTAAACCAGAATGTGAACTAAAAATTTCATTTGTTGTGATAACCCAAAACAGAGGTAAGTTTTAAATTATTTGGTATATTTAGCAAAACAAAAGAAACGCAATAAATGTAAATATTAGAAAGCATCCATATAAATCTTTTGAAGACATAATTTGTAATATATATTAAAAATATGGCTCCATGAACATGAAATTGTTCTGTTCTCCTAAAATAGTGAAAGCACACCCATGTGTGCTACTGTATACCTTATTAAGAAAATGTTTATGAACTTATGCTTAGTTGAAAAGTGAGAAGGAAGCAGACAGGCAGTGCATCAATAGCTAAAGAATTAACTAAGGAATACTCCTTAATTTTTAAAATTTTTAAAAAGTTAAGGAATACTCCTTAATTTTTTAAATTAACTTGGTTAATTTAAGTTTAGAAGATGTGATGACCAACCTGAAAGGTATCAGCAACTCGATGTAGGAACTCAATTACAAAGAGAGGTGGCACTTCAGTCTGTATGACAGACACAAAGAAGAGCTTATCCCGGTAGATACTGATGAGGTAGTGGTGAGGTGTTGAAATGACAGGTGGTACATTTTCAACATCAGCAGCTTTCTCTTGAGCTTCAAAGAAATAATCACAGACAGACTGGCTCACAACGCTTTTCCAGTGCTTCTCTAGAAATATGTCACCGGAACAGTTTATGAGAAATAGGCTGTGGATCATTTTCTAAGGAAAAGAAAAGTTTAAATTTATTATGCATCAAATACTGTTTGTATTATCCTGACAACAAACCATATACAAGTAATCTAGGACATGATAGACTGACATCATCTAAGAATATAGATATAAAAATCCTCAATAAAATATTAGCAAACTGAACTTAGCAGCATAAAAATTCCATTTAAAAAACTATCAAAAAGATTAAAATAGTTAAGATTAATTTTGACAAAAGTGTAAGATTAATACTGAAAATTACAGAGTATCACTGAAAAGATATTAACGAGACCTAAAAAAACAGATATGTCATGTTTATGGTTTGGAAGATTAATATTACTAAGATATAATACTTCCTCAATTAGTCTACATATTCAGTGCTATCTTTATTACAATGCCGGTTGCCTTTTTTTGTGTATGTAAACAGGTTGATTCCAAAATTCATACAGAAATGAAAGAGACCAAGAATAACCAAAAATATCTGAAAAAAAGAACAAATTTGGTGGACTAACCCTGATTCAAAAATTAGTTTTTGGTTTTGCTTTTTTAGCTAGAAACCAAAAGCAGAAGCAACACAAGAGAAAACAGGTTTGGTGCTTCAAAGGGCATTATCAAGAAAATAAAAACAAAAATAGTGAAAACTGACAATAAGAAATTATTTGCAAGCCATGTATCTTATTATACAAATAACTCTTCCAACTCTCCAAGCACACAAAAAGATACCATCTTTTTAAAATAGAAATCAAAATCACAATGAGATAACATTTCATATTATTAGACTAGCTATTGATATAATCAAACAGCAGATGATATAACAAGTGTTGGCAAGAATGTGGCAAACTGGAACCTTCAAACACTGCTATGTGAAAATGTAACATGGTGCAGCTGCTATGGAAAATAGTTTGAGCTTTTTAAAAAATTAAACATAGTGTTATTAAATGACCCAACAACTTTTCTCCTGGTATATGCCCTAGAGTACTGAGAACATACATGCACACAAAGACTCCTGCACTAATGTTCCCAGCAGCATTATTTATAATAGCTCAAAAGTAGAAACACTTTAAATGTTTACCAACTGATGAATGGATAAACAATAAAAAAAAAAAAACCTAATCAATAGGATATTATTCAGCCATAAAAAGGACTGAAGCACTAACACATAACATGGATGAAATCTGAACTCTTTACTAAGGCAAAGAAGCCAGATACCAAAGATAACATAATGTATGATTCAGATTATGCGAAATGTCAAACAGGCAAAGTTTTAGAGACAGAGAGTAGATAAGCGGCTGTCAGGGGCTCAGTGATAGAGTTAGGAAGTCATGGTTACGGGTTTGCTATTTCTTCTTGCAGAAGAGGTAGCAGGTTTGAAGGTTCCAGTTCTGCCACATTCTTGCCAACACTTGTTATATCACCTGTCGTTTGATTATACAACTTTGTGACTATACTAAAAACTACTAAATTGTACACCTCAAAGTAGTGTGTTTTATGGTTTTAAATTTGAGTATTTTTAATACTTGGTGACATATATACCAACTCCCAAGTAGATTAAACAGAAGTGTGTACAAATGTGCACCAAAAACATATATATAAAATATTCATGATAAAACCTGAGAGGCTCAAGTTGTTATAGTAAGAGGGAAAATTAAGTGTAGCATATTATAAAATGAAAAAGTCCAACGAAAATGAATAAATTGTTGCTACATGAAACAAATAATGGATAAATTTTACAAACACCACAAAAGGACATATAATGTTTGATTCTATTTACATTAAGATCTGGAACAGGCCAAACTGACCTATGATTTGAGGAATCAAATTGTTTTTTTATGGAGTGGGGTTAGTGACTGAGAGCAGTATGGGGGCAATCTTTTAAGAAACTGACAATGTTTTATTTCTTGATCTAGATGATTACAAGTTTTCATTTTGTGATAACTTACTGGTTTTTATGGCACATACTTTTCTGAATGTTAGATATGGTTTAAAGAAAGTTTATTGTTTTTGTAATGTAGGTGATAATGGAAGATGTCTAATTAACTTGTTCCTTTCTTTTACATGAATAACATCAGTATCAGATGTTTAATCTAGTGGTATAATCATTTGAAATTAAAGTACTGTATGATAAATACCTAAGGAGAAAGAATTTAAAAATCTATGACTATAGTTACTATATAGGAAGACAAACTGCAGGAAGGAAAGAAAAATTTAGGAACAGATTCATTCAAGTTTGTTGACACAGAAAACAATGACATCAGCCTGACCAGTACTCTTAGAGGAAGTCATTTATTTTATTAAAGCAGCAGCTGACATTTAAAGATTATCTGGTAATGGTTACCATTTCCCATTTGACACATGTTCAATTGTTATCAAGTGAATAATGCTAATTACTAATTTGTTTTAGTAATTATTATATTAATAAAGTATGAATGCTGTCGATAGTTTAGAGTTCTCACTTACTAGAAACCAAAACTATTTCTTTGTTTAAGCAATCAATTTGAAATGGCAGCAATAAACCCTGATACCTGTGACTTTGGAACTACTGACTCCAAATTAATACTTGAAACCTGCTAAATTCTTCTACTTTGTCTGCTAAGATGCTTAGCTTAGTATGTCTGCCTTGTATCAGTCTTATATTTCTATTTGGGTATTAAAATAGTGTCACTGAGGTACACAGACTAGCTACATAATCTTAATAATTGTACAACCGCTGCTGTTAAACATTTTATAAGTGAATCATCTGCAACTAAATTAGTTTTGATACCTTTTCTTGAAAAAAAATCATCATCTGAAACAAAGTGTGGCTTTGTTTTAAAGACTTATTTTTAGTATTTATGCATACAAGAACTAGGATGTAAGCGAGAGGTATAGGGGGTGAGAGCATTTACCAGACACAGAGTGGGGAACAGAAAGAACAGAAAGAACAGGCAGATCTACTGAAATATACTGCTGTGGGGAGCAGTGGGTGAGACAGGAGAGGTCTGCTGTGCCATATGGGTTAGATCCCTGGCTAGGGATCCAACTCATGCCACATTGGCTGGTGATAGCTAGATAAGAGCTGAGACTTTAACCTTTCAGCTTCAAAGTGCTTTAAGGGAAAAAGAACTAACAATATCAAACAAGTGTGGCATGCTTACTGTGGGCCAGACACTATCCTAAGCACTTTAGTTCTATTTACATTATTTAATTTATTGTATCGCTTAGCTTTTGCAACTCACTCCTATAAACACTTTCTTTCTCCATTTTACAAGTAAGACAAGTCAATTATCTACGGTCATACAACAAATGAAAGCTAAGATTTAAAGTCCAGTTTACCTGAATCCTGAGTTTCTGTTCTTAAGTGACTCTTAGAGACTATTATAATAGAAAAACATTCTGATGCAGCATTATACAGTAGGATTCCTGCTATGTTGTCATGTCCTGTATCTGTGCTAGTGACCACAGGTCTACCAATTAGCCAAACATGGCTAATTGCAACTTGTACTGAGGTTTTAATTTTAATTAATTTTAAGTAAAAAAAAAATGCATGTATCTAGTGGATTAGCAGTAAATATGCTCTTTGAGTATATAATTTAAGTGTCAAGGAGTTGAAGGATATGTTTCTTGTTTAGCAAGAAGTTAAAATCAGTTCTAATAAATTATTTAGAGAAGTAGTTATATTTAAAAGCACTGACACGAGTTATCTTAAACCACTCATCCCACAGAAAGTGGAGTTCACAAGGATTTCTCATACTCAGTCACCATAAACACCATTAAAAAAACAAAACTGCTGTTCTTAAAACAAGTGACAATGTAGTTTCTTTATTTTAGGGACCAGATTCCTACTCATCCTCATGCTGGTGAAAAATTCTTTCCAGGAAAGTTTCCACCAAAGTTGTTTTCATTGGCAGTAGTTCAGATCTCAGAAGAATACAGTAAGTTAAACCAGCCATCTGGATTTATTATTGTTAGGCTTAGTACTGAGATGAAAGCATAATACTTGTAGTTTAAAGCTAAGCTTTAAAACTTAACTTCCTATTATAGGAAAAAAGTGCTTATTTCTTCTATCCACATTATGACCAAGGACCTAATGCATACAATGAATAAATAAATAATACACAGTGCAATGTAAAGTTGCAGTCAGTTCTTTCATAATTCTGATAAACTTTCTGGAAAAGCTACATACTCACCACCACTACAAACATCTTTTTGTTATTGGTGACTTTTTGAGTTAGAAAACAGAATTCACCTAGCTAATTTTAAATCACTTGAAAAATTACTCAGAGGCAGTTTCATCAGTTTTGACTGCAGCTTAAATACTCCATAAATTTCCTTTACAAATGTTGAACTCATTCATTCTGATGATTCAGAAGCAATGCAATTGTAATCGTCAAAATATCCTTGGAAGACAGTGTCTTAAAAAAGAAAATGTATCCCTTTTATAAATAACAGAATAAATAAATAAAAAGACCAATATCCAAAGTAAGAGAATGAGACCAGAGAAGAATCTCGGTCCTGATTCTCAGTCAAAATTTTGAGCATCAACTTACTCATTAAATAAGTACATTTAAAAAATGTTTTTATATATTATGCAATGGGGATACAATGTGACCAAAATAGTCCCTGAGCTCAGTGTCTAGAGTTAAACTAAGAAGGCAAAAACTAAATACACTAAGATATAAATCCTATTATGATAGGGGAAATAGTGCGCTATAGAATGGCAGAAGGCTTCCAGTTGAGGGAGAACACAAGACAAAGGAATTCAGCACAAATTTAACAACTTTAGAAGATGTGGGTAAGTGGTAAGATGAGTATGAAGAAGGCAGTAAACAGAGGTTGGTTCACTTATCCTCAGCACAATGAAAAGCCATTTAAAAATGATTACATATAGAGGGGATTCCTACAGTTTGATTTACAGTTTTTAGAGACTATACTGTGGAAACGGGATGACAGAGTAACTGGATACTGGGATACCAGTTGAGGGATGAGTTATAGTGGTGGCCTGGACTAGAGTTTTCACAGAAGGAATGGAGTATTCATTTTTTAAAAAAAATATTTATTTATTCATACAGAACTGGAATACAGGCCAGCGGTACAGAGGTGGTGAGAGGATTCACCAAAGACAGAATGGGGAGCAGAACAGGCAGATCTATGAAGCACACTGCTGAGGGGAGCAGTGAGCGGTCAGGAGAGGTCTGCTGACCATGTAGGTCACTTCTGAGGCTGGGGATTGAACTCATGCTGAAGTGGCTTTAGCTTCTTAGTTTTGCGCTTTAATCTGCTGTGCCACCAGGTAGGGCCCAAAATATTCATTTTAATGAAAAGTTAAGAGCAACATTTAGGTATGAGCAAAGATTAGGTGTGTGTGGGGGTGTGGGGTAAGGGAGGGGAGAGAGTGGTTGAGAGGGAAAAATAAGCTTAGTCCTGTGTATCTCACTTTATTCTGGATATATTTGATGCAAATGGATCTCTTCAAAAGACTACTGTATATATATGTCTGGTGGTTCAGGGAAAAGTAGATTTGTAAGTATCAATTTTTGTTAATGAAAATTACAAATATTAGAATAAACTACGAAGAGAGAATACGTATAATAATGAAAGTTTAAGGAAGGAACTCTACCATATGAATAGAAGGTGGATCAAAGAGGTGTGCCTATAAAAAAAAAAACTCATAAGATGTGGCTGAAGAGGAGATGAAGAGATAAAAAAGGGGGGTTAGGGGAATAATTTTTAGTAACGAGTGTGTTTACTTGAGAATGGAGTAGTAAACATTTTAAATGGCATAAAGAGGTCAAGCTACAAGGAAAACTAAAAGTGTATGTTGATTTAACAGTATTTCTCAATTTTCTTCTCATTATTGTATAAGGGGCCTTTTCAGTCTCACCCCCATAATATTCCACCTTCATAGAATTTTAATGCGACTAAATATATATCTATATCTCTGTATGTATTATAAATATATCTGTGCTTTAAGAGTATAATTTTGCCTCACAAGCAGCATTTTTGGTCCCCATTGAGAATGTGTGATGTCACACACAGAAGACAATGGTGATCTTTGTAAAAGCAGTTTCAGTGGGAGTTTGCTGAATGCTGGAAACAAGGATCAGACTAGGAAATAAATATTAGAAAGTAAGAAACTGATAAGTAGAGTAGATGATACAGCTATGAAGGAGCTGAAAGCACAGGAACGTAACAAAGTAGTTAATAAAACTAAGGGAGAATCCTTTTAAGTGCTAATGGAAAGATGTGAGGCGCAAGGCTAATAATGACATACATAGGAGGGAGTAACTGGAAAAAAAAGAAAGAAGGTATACTTGAGAAGGTATGAGGGAAACGAGGTGAAAAGACTTGCCTTTCCTAAGAAGGGGCACTTTTCACCTAAACTAAAGAAGGTTTGTATGGTTCCAGGAAGATGATGACTTATACTTAAAAATATTCAGTCTGCAAGGAACGCCAATAGTACAGTATTTTAAATGTTCAGAAGTACTGTAAAAAAAATCCTAAGATTCAGTAAGAAAAGCTAACCTTATTGCAAAGAGTGCTTTCCTGCTAAAGATAAAGATTCAGGTAGTTCATCATTCACTTTTCCTATGTCCATTCAATGAAAAAGTCCTTTTGTTTCAAAATTAATCCTTCCATTTGCAAGTTTGATCCCATTCCTTTCCCATTCTACCTACATTTTATTTCCTCTCACTTGAATCTGGTTGTTACTTGTTTACCCCCTGGTTACTTGTTTTCTCCCTCAAAACATAACATGCCATTTTCTTTAAAACAAACCAACCCCAAACCTTCTATGGACCCTTGCCATCTTCAACGATCTTTTCCTTCATTCTCCACATGAAGGATTAGTCCACAGTTGCAATCTCTCCTCTCAGTAACTGGCTCTTGAGCAGCTCTCTCAAATGGCCCAATGACTTCCTAATTATCCAACAACTTATTTTCAGACCTCCTTCGATCCTTGTAGCATTTCATGTCACTAACAACTTTCCCAAAAGAAAACAAATACTTTTCCCTATTAAATGAAAATTCACCCATTTTGGTTCTCACTTGAAACTTTCCAGTTTACTTTCCGTTTTTCCCCTTTTATTTTTCTACCATCTCCTTCCGAAACCGTTTCAAACTCCATATAGCCAAAGTTCCATGATATTCCTCCCCCTAAAACTTGGGCATCTCCTTAATCATCACCATTTAAACTAAAAGCTTCAATTCAATTCAAACCCAATCAGCCACATGGCTCACTTTTCCACCGCTCTCTCCTCAGTTTAGGAATTTTCCTACGAATTGCAACATCCTCAGCACTGCCTTCCTCACACCAGGCTAATCCAGGAGCCATTCTCTAACAGAAAGTCAGTTCAGGTCAGTTGGGGGTTTCTTCCTCCAGAGTAGGTGCCTGGGGCTTAGGTCTCAGTCGTCAGTACTCCAGCTCGCGGTGGGTGACAGAACCATTTTCCCACGTCCGAGAACAGATAGGGAACTGCAATGAGCTTGAAGTTCCCGGACCTCGAGCCAGAGAACGCTAGGCTGCAGGTGCACCGATCTCCCCAGGCCCTGCTAGCAAGAAAGCCCGGAAGGCCGGGAGCAAGGCGCGGTCCCGATTCACAGCTCTGGAGAGGCTCCTGCAGCCCAGGTAGCAGCTCGGAACCCCAGCTTTTAGCCTATCCCCCTCTTTTCGAGTTGTCCCCAGCAGTACACTCCCCGCCCCTCACACTCACCCCGACACCTGGGCCCGTCAGTGATTCGGCGCCGGGTCCTCTCCGGACCGAGGATGAGGCAGCTGAGAAGGCCGTGAGGACCCCGCACTTGGAGTGCCCAGTAAATTGCCTGACTATCGGCTTCAAAGAAACCGACGAGGCCTACAGTACTGGAACGACTAAATAAGCGGGAAGACGTTGGATGACAAGAAAGACGTCTCTAAAGGTTTAGCATCTAAATCCTTCAGATCATCTGGCATCTAGAAGAACGGGGGTTTTCGTACCATTTGGGCTCCGGCGCTCACCCGCAGCCTAACTCTGCCTGGGGTCCCCCTACAGCCGTGTGGGCGGGGTCAGTGTGTATTTCAGGGGGTGGGGCCTAGCTATAGGGCCAATGGCTGAGGATGGGAGAGGCACGGACTGGGCGGAGTCGGGGGGCGGGGTTAGGAGGCAAATGAGGCCGTGCGGCAGGGAAGGGGCGGGGCTAGAGTGCCAAAGGGGTGGGGCGCGAGCTGGCTCCGAAGTAGGGTGGGAGCGTGAAGATGGCAGCTGCTGAGGAAGAACCAAAGCCCAAAAAGCAGAAGGTGGAGGCTCCGCGAACGCTGAGGTGAGCGCAACCTGACATAGGGTGGAGGGAGACGGTGCCTGCCTTTAACCAGACCCCACGTGGGGTTGCATGGCCCGGGCGGTGGGTGGTGTCTTGGCTGCCGGCGTGGGGCCAACGTGCAGGACCCGCAGCTTGGAGAGCTGCCGGGTTGGCTGCTGTCCCTTGCTCGGAGCCCGCCGGGTTTGTCTGACCAAGTAGCGGTCTGCTCCGGAGCTGCTCCGAACACCCTTGACCAATCCGAGCGTCGGACGGAGGGGGGCCGTACCCGCTGTGGGCAGCTGCGGGCGCCACGTGGGAGCCAGCTCCGGCTGGGCTGCTGCGACCCTGGAGGACCGGACCAGAGGAGAGTCATACTCGGTCAACATATCTTTCCTGGGGAATAACGAGGAGAGCGAGAGAATGCTTTACTCTGAGGCAAAGACAAAAATGATGGATATTATTTGTAAAGTGTTGCGGGAGGGCTCCTTCATCTTTTCCGGGCGCACTCTGAAAGTTGGCACCTTTGAAGACCTAACTGAAACCCCAGATCCCGCCGCTGAGGCTTGGCGCCAACGGCATTTGGCTGAGTGTTAGGAAAGGTTGATTTTTCTTTGCACTTTTTGGAAAATTTTCCTTCCCTAACACCTGCTTCACATGTAGTTGATGCTGCAACTTTACTTATTAAAAGTTTTTTTTGGTTGTTAAAATCATTCCTTCCTAATAAGTGTTAAGTGCACCCTGCACAGTCCTTGATTTTGAAATGTTCGTTGGAAGGCAGTAATTTTCTATCTAAAAATAGATACATCAAACTGATTTAAAACTGTTGGGAACTTCTGATTATACAAGACAAATCTCATTTCTTCCTGCATCGCCTTTCTTCATTTCTGAAAGAATGAATCATTCACTATTGAAGAGAAAAGGTTACTTAGGTCCTAGTGGTGTGTTCTGTTGTTCTGAATACCTGTCAATTCCTTCAGTGTATTCTCATTACCATCAACAGGTTAGTGTACCTATGTTATTCCTAGAAAATAAACTTTCTTTTTAAAATAAATCAGGATGTTTTATTTTTGTTGTAAGCCTTTAAACTATATTTGGAGTAAAGCAAAGATTTTTGAATCAGGCCTACTTGTGTTCAAGGCATGTGCTTTCCTTCCGCAGCCCATTATTAATTTCCTTAAAAGGCACCTCCTTCACAAAGCTCATTCTCCTAAACTGGAAGACAGATGCAGTTTTTCCCTACCATCCTGGTAAACATACGGCTCTTAGATTTTCCTATGCTGACCCATTTTCAAAACTCTTTTCCTATTTACAGATGAGTAATTGAAGCCCAAATGAAACAGTTAAGAAATTGAAATGTGAAACCGGAGCGTCTGGGTAGTAGTTATTGTTTGATTGACTTGTGCATACTTTTATATAGTTACCCAAGTTGTGATTTTCTTTGCTGATGCATTAAAAATTAATAACTATTAATAATATGTTTGATTCTTAGGTATGTATGTGCTAACGACTGTTTCAGCACTTTACTTAAAGTCTTTTTTTTTTTTTTAAAGATTTATTTATTTATTCATATGGAACTGGGGTACAAGCCAGAGATGTGGAGGGTGAGAGGATTCACTAGAGACAGAGAAGAGAGCAGAACAGGCAGATGGATGAAGTACACTGCTGAGGGGAGCAGCGGGCTGGTCGGGTCAGGAGAGGTCTGCTGAGCCATGTGGATCTCCTGGGCAGGCAGGAATCAAACTCATGCAGAAATGGCTTTAGCTTCTTAGTGCTGTGCTTTAACCTGCTGCACCACCAGGGAGGGCCTATTTTAAGTCTTTTAATCCTACAACTCCACAAGGTTCATATTAAAATTGACTCCATTTCACCAACATGGAAACGGGCCCTGAAAAGGTTGAAAAAATTGATTAAGGTCACCTACCTTAATAAGGTCACCTACCTAATAAGCGATGGAATTCAGGTTTTAATTCAAGTATTCTGATTCCAAGTTTGTATTTAATACCATGCTATACTTATCAAGCAATATGTTAAAAATAGTCCTAGTTAACTAACTGTAAACTCAGTTTTTCTCTACTTTTTTTTTTAAACTTGTTTTTGTGTAGAAAAACTGGGATACGGGCCAGAGGGAAGGGGTTGAGAGGATTCACCAGAGACAGAGTGGGGAGCAGAACAGGCAGAGGTACTGAAAATATACTGGTCAGAGATTGAACTCAGGGTCCACAGTGGTAGCACTGACACTTAACCCACTAGGGAAACCCTTGGTCTTGTTTTGCTCTGGTTAGTATGCATAAATTTTTATACTGCTGTAATATACTAGCCTATGAAACATAATAATTCTTTCTTATATTTTGTATGTGATTAGTATCTGCTTAAAACTTGTGAAATCCTTAGGCAACTAAAACTCATTTTATGCAATCTCTACTACCATACGTGGATACGAAATTAAATGATTAGCCACTTGAGTACTGGGACAGATTGTTTAATTTTGTGTGAAGACCTCTTGGGATTGACTGCTGCTTTCACTATATCAGTTTGGCTTTCATGGTTGCAGCATGATGAAGTACTTTGTGTTTAGACTGCCTGCATTATGATGGCTTGCGTGGCAGCTAGGGGTCTAGCTACCAGTTTTGATTAGCTTTTTTTTTTTTAAGATTTAGTTTTATTTGTTCATGCATACAAGAACTGGGGTGTAGGCCAGAGTTCTTGGGGGGAGGGTGAGTGGATTCACCAGAGAGTGGAGAGCAGAACAAGTGGGTCTATTGAAATACACTGCTGAGGGGAGCATCAGGCAAGACAGGAGACATCTGCTGCTCCTTATGTGTGTCAGCTCCCTGGCTGGGGATCAAACTCATGCTGCAGTGGCTGGTGATAATTTGATAGCGCTGAAACTTTAAATCCTGTGCCACCAGGCAGGCCCAGTTTTGGTTAACTTTTGAGAATGACTTAAAAGGTCATAATTGAATGTGTAGAATCAGCCAGAGGGGACAAATAAATTTATGGGACTTTTGCAGGTGTTAGGGAAAGGACTTAGGACTTTGTCAGAAGTTTAGTTAGCTCTTGGGTAATAGTTATCAGCCAGAGAGAATTCTCTCTTCCCCCTTCCCCCTTCTTCCATACCATCAAGAGACATTTGGAGACAATTTTGGTGGGAGTGCTACTTATGTCTAGAAGGTGGAGTTCAAGAATACTGCTAAACATTTTGCAATGCACAGGAAACTACAATGCACAGAATTATGTGAACAAAATTGACAATAGTGTTGAGATTGAAAAAAGTGTTCTAGGGAAGAACATCTGATAAATCTAGACTTCCTTTCTCAAAGAGTCATTATTTTTCTAGACTGGATTGCATTTCAGAGACTGCAGCAGTTATTAAAATTACAATGAAATATTAGGTAGGGAAACAGAAGGGAACATTGAGTGCCAGGCATTATAGTAGGTGCTTTACATATGCTATGCCATTTAATCAGTGGGGTAGGAGTGATGATAGCTGTGTTACAGGTGAGTTATTTAGTGCTGAAAAAAGTCAAGAGGCACTTTGGGAGCTATTCCCTAGTTGAAGATGTTCTGTAATTACCTTTATTTAGGGCCACCTAGTTTTTTTTTCCTTTGGACTTCCCATCCAACTTCATTTCTTTAGCAGTTGTCTCTAAGAGGGTAGTTTCTTCCAAGACTTGCTGAACACATACTATGTCTATTCTTTTAGTCAGTTTTTCAAGTGCCTGATATTTTGGACATGGTCCTAAAAATCAGGCATGTACATAGAGAGTGATGAGACTCAGATGCTATCCTTCCTTTGGGAAATGAGTAGAGTTTGGGAAAAATGATACCTGAGTGTTCTGAAAAATAATGAGGCATTAAACAGGGGATGAAGTAGAATATCTGACTTTATAGGAAAGTGTGTTTGGAGGTAGAGATCTCCTTCTATTGGGAGACTACAGATGGTTTTGTCTGAAAGTAGACAAGGCATAGGGGGCCCAGGCTTTGTACTGGGCACGTTGGCATGTGTGATCTTTCCATCTCTATATCCTTCAGGCCTACACTGAATAACATTGAATAAGAAATGAACCTGATCTTTCTATCTGGAATATGGCTCCACTTCCCTTCCATTGATTAAAATCCTGACTGTGCAAAGTATTCGTAGTTAAGTAAGGAGAAAAAAAGACAAAGATTCAAAATTAAAAAGAACTTCCTGGTAAGGATGGAAGCCACTGGTTATGAGTATGGTCTCTAGTATCAAATATCTGGTGTCGTTTATTCTTTGCCTTAGTTAGCTGGTATTTTGGAGAGGACTGCTTATTGATGGCATGCCTTTGTTTTCTCACCTATAAAATGAATATAATAGTGTCTACCTGAAAAGATTTTTGAAAAAACTTCATGAGAAAATAAATATAAAATTGGTATATTATAAGTCTACAATCAATGTTAACTATTATTATTTTGGTACTGTTTGACCTGCTTTGGTTTCCTACTTTGCTTAAAACACAGCAATTACAAATTAAAAGAAAAAAAATGAAAAGATATAGCTACAGACAGTAACAAGATAAACATCCCCAGAAACTAACACAGCAAGGAAACATGCAGTTGGACTGTAGGTTGAGGTACTGGTGGAAACAGCTCTACTCAGGCGAGGTGGGATCAGATTTACCAGATGAAACAGGGAACTGAGGTGTGGCTGGTAGTGTCTACTCCTGACTGTTACTTTAAAAAGTGGGACCTGAAGTTGCACAGAGGTGGCCTAGC